TGCAACCCTCGTCTTAACACAATATTTACAACGTTGTCACACGACACCTCCTTAGGACAGTTGGTCGCCCTCCTGGTGATAGAACAAATTACCGGATTTGAGGATCCTTTCCCTCTCTTCGAACCTTGGATAATCCTATAATATGCCAGCGCAACTTGCCTCCCTCTTCTTCTAGCTCCTGGATCTTCTCGTCAGATCTCAGGGTACGTGCGTTATATGTTGCCAGGTCGAGTCGTTTTAGGTGGCAATCGAACCTCCAATAAAGATTCTTAACACCCGCTGCCCCGTTGTTACCATGGTCACCACCGTAGCCAGAAATAGCGGGGCTGCCCTGTTCTGGGGCCATTAGTCTGTGTGATTGCTCATGGGGGCATGTTTGCCATATTTGCCACGCTTGGTGAGCGAGTTGGCAACCGCAGTTTTCTATTATACAGTGTGTAAGTGTAAACACCCTTGTCACTGAAACCATAGTTATTTGGCTTTAATATAAAAATATATATCCGATTTTTTTTAAAACGCTATTTTCTTTCATAAAATTAAAAAAGTTTCTGTTCGACAACGTCCGTAAATTCATGTATACCACCCTATGCGCTCGAGTGACGTAATCACTGTAAAGATCACCGCCCGCCCTTGCTACCTACACAACATTTCAATAAAAACACAATGGTACAACACATAACCTATGATGTAACTTTTCCTTCATACTTTCACACTGACTTAGGATAGATAAAAATTCCTACCCTTTGTGTTGCGTGACGAGTCCAAATTAATGTAAGTTAGATTTAACAACAAAGAAAATTAAGCATTAATAATAGTAAATCATTAGGTAAGATTTTTGGCGTATTTAAAAGGTTAATCATAATGTTATGCACACACGGCTATACATTAAGTTATGCAAAACCAATGGGTAGCTCGCCATCCAATCAAGGAACCAGGGTCCCGGGACTCTCTTAGCAGGATACCGCGGCCCTAGAACGCAAAGGACATTTGAAGCATAAGCTGACCGTTCATTGTACGGAAAGATCATACAAAGCGAGGCCAAGACAAACTGGTTTTGAATAGCTTGATGTCTAGCCTGATTGATTGATTATTTACACTTACCTATTAAATAAAATCCTCGTAAATGAATCCTATTTTAATCAGCTTTTACATTAATCGTAAAAGCTAGAAGCACAACAGTGTCTATTCTCTAAACACACTAAGAATTCTCCTTTTGAGTTCGGACGTATTACGGAACTTAGTTGCATACACTCGGCGCTTCACTTCTCCCCAAAGATAAAAGTCCTGCGGGGTAAGGTCGGGCGAACGCGCTGCCCACGCCACTGGCCCTCCACGTCCTATCCATCGCCCAGGAAACTCCTCAACCAGCATAGCCCTGATTTGCAGCTGAAAATGTGCAGGGGCACCGTCATGTTGGTAGTAGAGGTTTCTCAGTGAACGAAGAGGCACATTTCCGCTGCACGTTTTGTGTAGGACATAATTACAAACTAATACACACTTGCACAAAAGCTACAACTAGGTACCTAAAACACAAATAAGTGACGTAGAATGTCGGCAGGGCGCGCGGCGCGGTTGTAAATCAAATTTACACGTGCATTCGCTACCGACGCAGCGACAGACTGACACACTGACGCAATGACATTGGCCTTGACCGCGAATCGCTGCCGCTACGATATGTTGAGTTTTTTGTTGTGAATTCTGTATATCCCTACTTGCCTAGGGTGAAATAATTGTAAGGAAAAATTGAGATTTGACTAAAAAAATGTTGTTATTTTTCATTGAATTTACGTTCTATAAGTGAAACCAAACCACTGGTTTCAAGGATAACGGTGTTTACACTAACAACCTGTATAATTGTTGTTATCAAGAAGATGCTACTGCCCATTTCCTGCGTGTCACCTCTTACGGCACGCACGGGAAGATATGGGCTAGTGGATATTTTCAATAAAAAACCAGTTTAATAAGATAAATAAATAATAATATAATTCCCGGAATTCAGAAGGCATATTCATGTTGGATAACGGTGTGTTAAAATAACGGTTGCTAAATCCCAAGAATAGCACTACCTGCGGCGATCACTATTCATCACACAACCAGCTAATAATTTTTCGCTCGCTAGATGTCAATAGTTGACACGGAGGTGAAGTTTTTTGTTATAAAATGTCATTTAATTAAGAACACAAAATAATGCCTCAGTGGTTTTCTTTTTAATTTTTGCACAATATTTAATTTTTAAGCTATTGCATAGCTTCTATCGCGGGCCTTGAACGCGGGGACCGAATCCAGAAATTCCGTAACGAAAAAAAACCTCACGCTCCCCACTCCGACGGGCACGGAGATGTGGCGTTGAAAGCCGTGCATCGTCTAACATCGTTTCAGTTCGGCAGACTTCGGCACTCGGCAGAGTTCGGCACGGTGTTTGTGTGCGTGCGACTAGACGTATGCGTGTACACTAGCTGCTAACTCAATGATAAAAATTCCTGAATAACCTACATGTATTGTAAGATATTAAAAATATTTTAAACAATATTAACTTCTCATTTATTCAATTAGAGAAAAAAATTGTTTTCTTATCGGTCACCACGCTCAAAAAGTGTAACTTGATTTAATATCAAAGACTTAACTGCATAAATAAAATAAATAAATAATTATAATAGCATAAGTTGATAAAAAAATGCTAAGCAATAGCTTTACCGCGGCAGTCGCCGAGTGCCACACGTATTTTTTTTTATTTTTATATCTGTGTGAATATCTGTGGTTTTGTTTATTTATTTTTTATTTAATTAATATATAATTTAACTAACAGTATAGAAAGAATCATTAACCTTTACATTTTTCGAAGAAAATAACTTCCCCGCTAGAAACCTATTAAATATTACACTTCATTTTTTGTGGAGCCACCCGATGGGGCAGAAAAGTCGTGGATATTCATTAAAACGAATTGAAATAGCTTTACTTGATTGCAATTACCACATTTCCTGGGGTTATTATTATACATAAATTGATTTTGTACATGCTGACCTGAGTCCAAACAAAAACATATCGAATTTGATACTTCAATAGATATTCTAAAAAATTATAAATTTTTGATAAATCAAGATTAAAAAACGACGATAAATACCGATTATTTTAAGAAAAAATGTTGATGTCATATTTCCATTTTTGACCAAATCTAGTTAGTACATTATTTATTTATTTAGTTTGCATTTTTGTCTACTCTCGTCATCGACATTCTGCTGGGTTAAACTGTCATCAAAACTTCCAAAAAAACTTAGCAATTTTACGCATCAGCATATTGTGCAGAAAGAAATCTATGAAAACGAAGATCGCCAATGAAATGACGATATGCTTCAAAAAATAAGCATCCAAGTCAAAAAATTTAAATAATATTTTTATTAAACTGTGGTCTACTGGTAGTCCGTTGTAAGTGGTTGTAACGTAGACAGAGAAAGCTATAGACTAATGATTAGCGTGGCCTCGAGTGAGAAAGGACGATAACGTAGTTTTAGGCTGTACTATAATCTTTATGACTTTTAAACATATTTAGATAACTGAACAAGATTCACCAATCTTAAGCTCACAAAACACTTTTATCTCACTTACACCAACTTTTAAAATCCTTAGATCGCTACGAACTGTCAAAGTTGTTTAGCAAAGTGTAGTTTGCCTAACAAAAAAGCCGGCACGGAGAAAGGGACAAACAATCACACCGATCCGTCTCATTTCTATGCAAGACGTATGCACAAATCTATATTTTTCGTGTGCGAAAGCGAAAGAAGGGCGTCAATTTGTCTATAGGTTTCTCTGTCTACGGGTTGTAAGGATAATGGATACTGCAGAAACGTCGATGATGACACCGATGTTGATATCGATAGCTTAACATCGACGTTCGATGTTTATCCTGCTCAAAACATCAATGTTGGTCATTATCGATTTTTTTGCACATGTACCTATTTAGTAGGTTAGAAATAAAAAAAATTGTCATGTTGTTTATGGTTTATTATTAATGAAATAAAAGAAATTAATAAAAAATTTAATGTGAGTAATTTTAAAAAAGGGAAGAAATTAACAAATATCTAGTTCATTTGTTATAGTCGTAGTCTAATATTTCTTGCCGATCATGAGGAATGTTACTATTTTGAATTTTAAGTGTTCTATACATCCACAAATCAGTTATAAAAAAATTATTATGGAACCTAACTTATGACTTAGACCTAGTTTTTATATCAACTACTTCTAACTCGAAAGAAAAGTATGATTATAGAGAAAAAATTAACAAACCATATATTAACAAAATAATAGACTACTATATAAATAAATAATAGACTTTTCCGTCACCTTTGTTCCCAATTTTTAATCAAACAGCCCAAGCAGTAATTATCCACAGTCATTTATAAAATGCACAGTCGAATGTACTTACGAGTATTGATACCTACTCGATACCAAGTATCGAAAAAATGTATCGATACTACTTGGTACTCGATACCTTTCTAATATTAGAAATCACAAGAAAATACACAACAATGATCCAATTCCATATTCATCATCATCATCATTACAGCCCTTCTCAAGTTCACTGCTGGTATCATCGGCCTCCCCTAAGTTACGGAACTCCAAACTCAATTTTTGAAATATTCATAAATCGCATTTGTTATTACATAGAATTACTGTACATTAAAGATAATAATAATAATAATTATAATAACCATGAAACGGCGCCGGGTCTGGGCGTCTCCCGTTAAATGACGCCCTGTATGGATGATGGAACAAGAAGATTGCGCAAAGGGCCGCTGCCTGGGGGTCGCCGGGGCGCGTCTTGAGCTGGCGCTGGACGCGACAGCATGCGGACCGCCAGCCGAGCGCGAGGTGCTGCACGACCACCCAGCAGCCCCTCGCATCCATCATCCCCACCAGATTGCTTGGTGTCGGCAGGGTCTTCGCAGACCCAGCAAGCGGCACCCGCCGCTGGTGGAGTACGTCGCATGCGATGGACAATCAATATGAATACAAACGCATTGCGGGCGTATTTTAGGGCGAAAGGGGGAGAAATTGGAGGTATCGCGTATCGGGCTCGGATGCATCGTCTTTTTGCTGAGCTGGAGCCGTCTATTACTGTCACCGAGCAAAACCTGGCAGACCGAGTTCGGTATATGTTACGCTCAAATATATTTGATGGCGCCGAACTCGAACGGCTACGACGTGAGGCTGTTCCCTCGTCAAATGAAAACGCTACGACTGAAGGTGCGGTGCCACAAGTTGCAGAACAACATCCGCACATGTGGATGCCGCCGTGGATCCTTCCAGTTGTGGCTGATTCGAATGATGATGGAACATTCACCCAGGAACTAGAAAGAGCAAATGAGGAGTACATTGGAAGAGGCGATTATGGAAACGCGCAGTACGCCTGCCCTCAAGCGGAATCGGGCTGTCGTGAGGGCTCTGAACCCAATGCTGGTGACCTATTTGGAAGCCAGCCGGGACCTTTGCGAGACGGACTCAATTCTCTTTGGCGCCGCACTGGCAGTCTGCCGTATTATAAGCGCCAAACTTTCCACGGCTGGACGCACTACTGGACAAAGTAGTGCTATCCCAGCCTGGAGAACAAGAATTGAAGAACGTATCGCAAAGGCTAGGGCCCTCATCGGCAGACTGATATGTTTCAGGTCAGGCAATACCAGGCCAAGGATTGTGCGCACCGTCAGGATGGCGTTTGCTGGGACAAATGTTAGTTTGTCCCAGCCGGATATAATGCAGAAACTGACGGAGCGCATAGACGACCTGAAGCAGAGAATCGCTGCTTGGGGAAAGCGAATTCGGCGATATACCGAGAGGTCGACACGGTTCAACCAGAATCGTCTCTTCCAGAGTGATCAGAAGAGGCTCTATAAATCATTGGAGCGACGAATGGTAAGTGGAACGGGCCCAGTACCGAATCAGGCCGACACGGTTGCATGCTGGCGCGGCCTGTCGTCAGAGCCCGTAAACCACAACGAGGGCCCTTGGACGGAAGTTGTGGCGAGTCAGTGTGCGGGTATTACGCCCATGGATCCCGTCACCATTACGCCGGATGACGTAGCTGAGGCGGTCCGTAGGGCCCCGAACTGGAAAAGTCCGGCACTCGACGGGCTGCATCACTACTGGCTGAAGGGGTTCGTGGTGTGTCACACTGTGCTCGCCCGACAGTTTCAAGAGGTTCTCAACCAGAAGTCGCTCCCGAGCCTCTTCACTACTGGGATCACCCATTTGGCTCCTAAAGGCCAGGGTACCACAGACCCGAGCAAATACCGCCCCATCACGTGTCTACCGACCATATACAAGACACTAACATCCATTTTGAGCGCGAGAATCACTCGTCACCTGGACTCAAATCAGGTGATGTCGCGCGCTCAAAATGGATGTCGGGGCGGTGGTCGTGGAACCAAGGAACCACTCCTCATTGACGCGGTCATTGGCAAAGTGGTGAAACGCAACCGTCGGAACTTCTCCGCCGCCTGGATATTTTTGGTCGACATTACCATTCCGTGTGACGAGAACCTCGTGAAAGCCGAAACAGATAAGCAAACAAAATATCTGGACCTGGCTCACGAGGTGACCGACATGTGGGGTGGTCTGCCGACCGAAATTATTCCTGTAGTCGTCTCTGCAAACGGGCTAATCCCAGTCAGCCTCTCGGGTCATCTGAGGCGGCTGGGACTACGTGGCGTACCGCTCCAGGCTCAAATGCAGAAGGCGGTGCTCCTCGATACCGCCCGCATCGTCCGCCGGTTTCTTTCCCTTTCCCCCTAACCCTAGGCCGTTTGGTCTCCCCTGCCGAGGGCCTCCATCTGGTTGGGCTTTTATTTATGTATGTATTTTTGTATTTATTTTATATTATTGATGTTTATGTATATTTATATTTTCATTTCCATTTATAATTATATATTTATAGAACCCAACCAGATGAGAAAATTATATTGATACCCCCCACAATAATAATAATAATAACCGCTCCAGGTTCAAATGCAGAAGGCGGTGCTCCTCGATACCGCCCGCATCGTCCACCGGTTTCTTTCCTTTTCCCCCTAACCCTCGGCCGTTTGGTCTCCCCTGCCGAGGGCCTCCATCTGGTTGGGCTTTTATTTATTTATGTACTTTTATATTTATTTTATATTATTGATATTTATGTATATTTATCTTTTCATTTTCATTTATAATTATATATTTATAGAACCCAACCAGATGAGAAAACTATATAGGTACCCCACAATAATAATAATAATAACGTCGTGCGTCGTGCGGTCGTGGAACCAAGGAACCACTCCTCACTGACGCGGTCATTGGCAAAGTGGTGAAACGCAACCGTCGGAACTTCTCCGCCGCCTGGATAGACTACAGAGAGGCATTCGACTCGGTGCCCCATACATGGTTAAAGAGAGTCCTCGAACTGTACAAGATAGACTGTACAGTTAGAGACTTCCTCGAGCAGTGTATGGGGCAGTGGAGTACAATCCTTTGTCATCTGGGCGAGCGGATGATGGCTGCGGAGAACCACATAAGGATAAGAAGGGGTATCTTCCAGGGCGATTGTCTGAGTCCAATATGGTTCTGCCTCTCTCTGAACCCTCTCAGTACCTTACTGGAGGGCTCCGGGAGGGGATTTCAGCTACGGAAAGGAGGGACAAAAATGACCCACCTTTTCTATATGGATGACCTCAAGTTATTCGCCTCCAGTCGCTCCCATCTTATGGAATTGCTAAACATCACTTGTGAATTTAGCAATTCCATTGGAATGGAGCTGGGGACGGATAAGTGTGCAGTACTCCATGTTGAGAGGGGTAGGGTTGCTAACTCTGAGGGCATAGACTTATCTATGCCCGTCAACTTAAGGACCCTTTCCGAGGCTGAAACATACCGATACCTGGGTATGTCACAGAACATCGGTATCGATGAGGCTGGTATGAAATAGTCAGTTTGCGACGTGTTTTATGCACGCTTGATCAAAGTGCTTAACAGCCTTTTGTCCGGTGTGAATAAGACACAAGCATATAACGGCTGGGTCATGCCTGTCCTCATGTATACCTTTGGCATACTCAGGTGGACTCAGACTGAGCTTAACGCCCTGGATAGAAAAGTCCGCACTACCATGACGTCCCACAGAATGCATCATCCGAGATCGTCGGTAATGAGGCTGTACTTGTCGCGAAAGCATGGTGGGCGTGGCTTCTTGAGCGCGCTCACCATGCATAATCGCGAAGTGTGCAGCCTCCGTAATTACTTCCTGGCGAGATCGGATGATCAATTCTATAAGGACGTCATTTCTTGTGATAAAGGACTTACCCCTCTATCCTTAGCCAACGAGCAATGGCAAGACCCGGCAGTGCAGACAATTTCCGACCGGGAGACCGTATGGAAGGAGAAGGAGCTCCACGGGAGGTTCTACAAGTCTCTACATGGGCCTTTCGTAGACACAGTAACTTCCCTCCACTGGCTACGCTTTGGTGACCTCTTCGGGGAAACCGAGGGTTTTGTCTGTGCAATACAGGATCAGGTTATTAAGACCAACAACTATCGGAGATACATCCTAAAGGATGGCACCATCGACATCTGTCGAGCTTGTCGCCATCCCGGTGAGTCACTTAGGCATGTCATCTCCGGTTGTTCGGCGCTTTCTAACTCTGAGTACTTGCACAGGCACAACCTAGTAGCCAGAATTCTACACCAGGAGCTCGCTCTGAAATACGGTTTCGTGGATCGGAAGTTGCCGTATTACAAGTACTTGCCGGAAGCCGTGCTCGAAAATGATCGCGCCAGGCTCTACTGGGACCGGGCCATCATCACAGACAGGACTATTCTTGCGAATAAGCCTGATATTGTGCTGATGGACCGGGCACAGTCAAGGATATTTTTGGTCGACATTACCATTCCGTGTGACGAGAACCTCGTGAAAGCCGAAACAGATAAGCAAACAAAATATCTGGACCTGGCTCACGAGGTGGCCGACATGTGGGGTGGTCTGCCGACCGAAATTATTCCTGTAGTCGTCTCTGCAAACGGGCTAATCCCAGTCATCCTCTCGGGTCATCTGAGGCGGCTGGGACTACGTGGCGGACAGCTCCAGGCTCAAATGCAGAAGGCGGAGCTCCTCGATACCGCCCGCATCGTCCGCCGGTTTCTTTCCCTTTCCCCCTAACCCTCGGCCGTTTGGTCTCCCCTGCCGAGGGCTTCCATCTGGTTGGGCTTTTATTTATTTATGTATTTTTTTTATTTATTTTATTTTATTGATATTTATGTATATTTATCTTTTCATTTTCGTTTATAATTATATATTTACACATCCCAACCAGATGAGAAAACTATATAGATACCCCACATAATAATAATAAGAAAACTATATAGATACCCCACAATAATAATAAAGCCTCTTTATTCCTTATCCCTGCGTTTCTTTATTTTACATTTCCATGTTTTTTAGTACTTATTATTAGCATTATTAGCTTATTTCACATTAGTTATTTTTTGTACGGTTAACTGTGTATTATTTATCGCATTTGTTATTACATAGAATTACTGTACATTAAAGATAATAACAGTTATGTGACAAAACTGCGACGTCGGCGCAGTCAGTCAGCATCCTGCCAGGAGGTGTGAGCGCCGTGCCTAGGCAAAATTGTAGATGCAAAGGTCCGTTTGTGCATATGACCCAAGCACGAAAAGGTACCGGGCTTGGGCGTCTCCCGTTATTTGGCGCCCATAAAATGGATGATGGCACAGAAAGGAACGCGGATAGGACCGCTGCCTGGGGGTCGCCGGGGCGCGTCTGGAGCTGGCACTGGACGCGACAGCATGCGGGCCGCCAGCCGAGCGCGAGGAGCTGCACGATCACCTAGCAGCCCCTCGCATCCATCATCCCCACCAGAAGGCTTGGTGTCGGCTGGGTCTTCTCGGACCCAGCAAGCGGCACCCGCCGCTGGTGGAGCACGTCGCATGCGTTGGACAAAATCCATGAACGAAAACGCATTGCGGGCGTACTATAGGGCGAAAGGGGAAGAAACTGTGGGAATAGCGTATAGGTCTCGGATGCATTGCTTTTTTGCTGAGCTGGAGCCGTCTATCTCCGTCACGGAACAAAACCTGGCAGACCGAGTTCGGTACATGATGCGCTCGAAAATATTTGATGATGCCGAACTCGAACGACTACGACGTGAGGCTATTCCGTCGTCGAATGAATCGGCTATGGCTGGAGATGCAGCTCCACATTCGACAGACCAGCATCCACACGTGGAAGCCACCATGGATCTTCCAGTTGTGGTTGATTCGATCGACGATGAAATAGTCTCCCACGAACTAGAACAAATGAGGAGTATATTGGAAGAGGCGATTTTGGAAACGCGCAGCAAGCGAAATCGGGCTGTCGTGAGGGCTCTTAACCCAATGCTGGTGACCTATTTGGAAGCCAGCTGGGACCTTTGCGAGACGGACTCCATTCTCTTTGAAGCCGCAGTGGCAGTTTGCCGTATTATTGGCGCCAAACTTCCCATGGCTGGACGCGCTACTACACAAAGAAGTAGCGCCATCCCAGCCTGGAGAACAAGAATTGAAGAACGTATCGCAAAGGCTAGGCCCCCTCATCGGCAGACTGATATGTTTCAGGTCAGGCAATACCAGGCCAAGGATTGTGCGCACCGTCAGGATGGCGTTTGCTGGGACAAGTGTTAGTTTGTCCCAGCCGGATATAATGCAGAAACTGACGGAGCGCATAGACGACCTGAAGCAGAGAATCGCTGCTTGGGGAAAGCGAATTCGGCGATATACCGAGAGGTCGACACGGTTCAACCAGAATCGTCTCTTCCAGAGTGATCAGAAGAGGCTCTATAAATCATTGGAGCGACGAATGGTAAGTGGAACGGGCCCAGTACCGAATCAGGCCGACACGGTTGCATTCTGGCGCGGCCTGTCGTCAGAGCCCGTAAACCACAACGAGGGCCCTTGGACGGAAGTTGTGGCGAGTCAGTGTGCGGGTATTACGCCCATGGATCCCGTCACCATTACGCCGGATGACGTAGCTGAGGCGGTCCGTAGGGCCCCGAACTGGAAAAGTCCGGCACTCGACGGGCTGCATCACTACTGGCTGAAGGGGTTCGTGGTGTGTCACACTGTGCTCGCCCGACAGTTTCAAGAGGTTCTCAACCAGAAGTCGCTCCCGAGCCTCTTCACTACTGGGATCACCCATTTGGCTCCTAAAGGCCAGGGTACCACAGACCCGAGCAAATACCGCCCCATCACGTGTCTACCGACCATATACAAGACACTAACATCCATTTTGAGCGCGAGAATCACTCGTCACCTGGACTCAAATCAGGTGATGTCGCGCGCTCAAAATGGATGTCGGGGCGGTGGTCGTGGAACCAAGGAACCACTCCTCATTGACGCGGTCATTGGCAAAGTGGTGAAACGCAACCGTCGGAACTTCTCCGCCGCCTGGATATTTTTGGTCGACATTACCATTCCGTGTGACGAGAACCTCGTGAAAGCCGAAACAGATAAGCAAACAAAATATCTGGACCTGGCTCACGAGGTGACCGACATGTGGGGTGGTCTGCCGACCGAAATTATTCCTGTAGTCGTCTCTGCAAACGGGCTAATCCCAGTCAGCCGCTCGGGTCATCTGAGGTGGCTGAGACTACGTGGCGTACCGCTCCAGGCTCAAATGCAAAAGGCGGTGCTCCTCGATACCGCCCGCATCGTCCGCCGGTTTCTTTCCCTTTCCCCCTAACCCTAGGCCGTTTGGTCTCCCCTGCCGAGGGCCTCCATCTGGTTGGGCTTTTATTTATGTATGTATTTTTGTATTTATTTTATATTATTGATGTTTATGTATATTTATCTTTTCATTTCCATTTATAATTATATATTTATAGAACCCAACCAGATGAGAAAATTATATTGATACCCCCACAATAATAATAATAATAACCGCTCCAGGTTCAAATGCAGAAGGCGGTGCTCCTCGATACCGCCCGCATCGTCCACCGGTTTCTTTCCTTTTCCCCCCTAACCCTCGGCCGTTTGGTCTCCCCTGCCGAGGGCCTCCATCTGGTTGGGCTTTTATTTATTTATGTACTTTTATATTTATTTTATATTATTGATATTTATGTATATTTATCTTTTCATTTTCATTTATAATTATATATTTATAGAACCCAACCAGATGAGAAAACTATATAGGTACCCCACAATAATAATAATAATAACGTCGTGCGTCGTGCGGTCGTGGAACCAAGGAACCACTCCTCACTGACGCGGTCATTGGCAAAGTGGTGAAACGCAACCGTCGGAACTTCTCCGCCGCCTGGATAGACTACAGAGAGGCATTCGACTCGGTGCCCCATACATGGTTAAAGAGAGTCCTCGAACTGTACAAGATAGACTGTACAGTTAGAGACTTCCTCGAGCAGTGTATGGGGCAGTGGAGTACAATCCTTTGTCATCTGGGCGAGCGGATGATGGCTGCGGAGAACCACATAAGGATAAGAAGGGGTATCTTCCAGGGCGATTGTCTGAGTCCAATATGGTTCTGCCTCTCTCTGAACCCTCTCAGTACCTTACTGGAGGGCTCCGGGAGGGGATTTCAGCTACGGAAAGGAGGGACAAAAATGACCCACCTTTTCTATATGGATGACCTCAAGTTATTCGCCTCCAGTCGCTCCCATCTTATGGAATTGCTAAACATCACTTGTGAATTTAGCAATTCCATTGGAATGGAGCTGGGGACGGATAAGTGTGCAGTACTCCATGTTGAGAGGGGGTAGGGTTGCTAACTCTGAGGGCATAGACTTATCTATGCCCGTCAACTTAAGGACCCTTTCCGGAGGCTGAAACATACCGATACCTGGGTATGTCACAGAACATCGGTATCGATGAGGCTGGTATGAAATAGTCAGTTTGCGACGTGTTTTATGCACGCTTGATCAAAGTGCTTAACAGCCTTTTGTCCGGTGTGAATAAGACACAAGCATATAACGGCTGGGTCATGCCTGTCCTCATGTATACCTTTGGCATACTCAGGTGGACTCAGACTGAGCTTAACGCCCTGGATAGAAAAGTCCGCACTACCATGACGTCCCACAGAATGCATCATCCGAGATCGTCGGTAATGAGGCTGTACTTGTCGCGAAAGCATGGTGGGCGTGGCTTCTTGAGCGCGCTCACCATGCATAATCGCGAAGTGTGCAGCCTCCGTAATTACTTCCTGGCGAGATCGGATGATCAATTCTATAAGGACGTCATTTCTTGTGATAAAGGACTTACCCCTCTATCCTTAGCCAACGAGCAATGGCAAGACCCGGCAGTGCAGACAATTTCCGACCGGGAGACCGTATGGAAGGAGAAGGAGCTCCACGGGAGGTTCTACAAGTCTCTACATGGGCCTTTCGTAGACACAGTAACTTCCCTCCACTGGCTACGCTTTGGTGACCTCTTCGGGGAAACCGAGGGTTTTGTCTGTGCAATACAGGATCAGGTTATTAAGACCAACAACTATCGGAGATACATCCTAAAGGATGGCACCATCGACATCTGTCGAGCTTGTCGCCATCCCGGTGAGTCACTTAGGCATGTCATCTCCGGTTGTTCGGCGCTTTCTAACTCTGAGTACTTGCACAGGCACAACCTAGTAGCCAGAATTCTACACCAGGAGCTCGCTCTGAAATACGGTTTCGTGGATCGGAAGTTGCCGTATTACAAGTACTTGCCGGAAGCCGTGCTCGAAAATGATCGCGCCAGGCTCTACTGGGACCGGGCCATCATCACAGACAGGACTATTCTTGCGAATAAGCCTGATATTGTGCTGATGGACCGGGCACAGTCAAGGATATTTTTGGTCGACATTACCATTCCGTGTGACGAGAACCTCGTGAAAGCCGAAACAGATAAGCAAACAAAATATCTGGACCTGGCTCACGAGGTGGCCGACATGTGGGGTGGTCTGCCGACCGAAATTATTCCTGTAGTCGTCTCTGCAAACGGGCTAATCCCAGTCATCCTCTCGGGTCATCTGAGGCGGCTGGGACTACGTGGCGGACAGCTCCAGGCTCAAATGCAGAAGGCGGAGCTCCTCGATACCGCCCGCATCGTCCGCCGGTTTCTTTCCCTTTCCCCCCTAACCCTCGGCCGTTTGGTCTCCCCTGCCGAGGGCTTCCATCTGGTTGGGCTTTTATTTATTTATGTATTTTTTTTATTTATTTTATTTTATTGATATTTATGTATATTTATCTTTTCATTTTCGTTTATAATTATATATTTACACATCCCAACCAGATGAGAAAACTATATAGATACCCCACATAATAATAATAAGAAAACTATATAGATACCCCACAATAATAATAAAGCCTCTTTATTCCTTATCCCTGCGTTTCTTTATTTTACATTTCCATGTTTTTTAGTACTTATTATTAGCATTATTAGCTTATTTCACATTAGTTATTTTTTGTACGGTTAACTGTGTATTATTTATCGCATTTGTTATTACATAGAATTACTGTACATTAAAGATAATAACAGTTATGTGACAAAACTGCGACGTCGGCGCAGTCAGTCAGCATCCTGCCAGGAGGTGTGAGCGCCGTGCCTAGGCAAAATTGTAGATGCAAAGGTCCGTTTGTGCATATGACCCAAGCACGAAAAGGTACCGGGCTTGGGCGTCTCCCGTTATTTGGCGCCCATAAAATGGATGATGGCACAGAAAGGAACGCGGATAGGACCGCTGCCTGGGGGTCGCCGGGGCGCGTCTGGAGCTGGCACTGGACGCGACAGCATGCGGGCCGCCAGCCGAGCGCGAGGAGCTGCACGATCACCTAGCAGCCCCTCGCATCCATCATCCCCACCAGAAGGCTTGGTGTCGGCTGGGTCTTCTCGGACCCAGCAAGCGGCACCCGCCGCTGGTGGAGCACGTCGCATGCGTTGGACAAAATCCATGAACGAAAACGCATTGCGGGCGTACTATAGGGCGAAAGGGGAAGAAACTGTGGGAATAGCGTATAGGTCTCGGATGCATTGCTTTTTTGCTGAGCTGGAGCCGTCTATCTCCGTCACGGAACAAAACCTGGCAGACCGAGTTCGGTACATGATGCGCTCGAAAATATTTGATGATGCCGAACTCGAACGACTACGACGTGAGGCTATTCCGTCGTCGAATGAATCGGCTATGGCTGGAGATGCAGCTCCACATTCGACAGACCAGCATCCACACGTGGAAGCCACCATGGATCTTCCAGTTGTGGTTGCGGCTGCCGAATGGCGCATCCCGCCCCATCATTCGACGACGGAATAGCCTCACGTGTAGTCGTTCGAGTTCGGTACATGATGCGCTCGAAAATATTTGATGATGCCGAACTCGAACGACTACGACGTGAGGCTATTCCGTCGTCGAATGAATCGGCTATGGCTGGAGATGCAGCTCCACATTCGACAGACCAGCATCCACACGTGGAAGCCACCATGGATCTTCCAGTTGTGGTTGATTCGATCGACGATGAAATAGTCTCCCACGAACTAGAACAAATGAGGAGTATATTGGAAGAGGCGATTTTGGAAACGCGCAGCAAGCGAAATCGGGCTGTCGTGAGGGCTCTTAACCCAATGCTGGTGACCTATTTGGAAGCCAGCTGGGACCTTTGCGAGACGGACTCCATTCTCTTTGAAGCCGCAGTGGCAGTTTGCCGTATTATTGGCGCCAAACTTCCCATGGCTGGACGCGCTACTACACAAAGTAGCGCCATCCCAGCCTGGAGAACAAGAATTGAAGAACGTATCGCAAAGGCTAGGGCCCTCATCGGCAGACTGATATGTTTCAGGTCAGGCAATACCAGGCCAAGGATTGTGCGCACCGTCAGGATGGCGTTTGCTGGGACAAATGTTAGTTTGTCCCAGCCGGATATAATGCAGAAACTGACGGAGCGCATAGACGACCTGAAGCAGAGAATCGCTGCTTGGGGAAAGCGAATTCGGCGATATACCGAGAGGTCGACACGGTTCAACCAGAATCGTCTCTTCCAGAGTGATCAGAAGAGGCTCTATAAATCATTGGAGCGACGAATGGTAAGTGGAACGGGCCCAGTACCGAATCAGGCCGACACGGTTGCATTCTGGCGCGGCCTGTCGTCAGAGCCCGTAAACCACAACGAGGGCCCTTGGACGGAAGTTGTGGCGAGTCAGTGTGCGGGTATTACGCCCATGGATCCCGTCACCATTACGCCGGATGACGTAGCTGAGGCGGTCCGTAGGGCCCCGAACTGGAAAAAGTCCGGCACTCGACGGGCTGCATCACTACTGGCTGAAGGGGTTCGTGGTGTGTCACACTGTGCTCGCCCGACAGTTTCAAGAGGTTCTCAACCAGAAGTCGCTCCCGAGCCTCTTCACTACTGGGATCACCCATTTGGCTCCTAAAGGCCAGGGTACCACAGACCCGAGCAAATACCGCCCCATCACGTGTCTACCGACCATATACAAGACACTAACATCCATTTTGAGCGCGAGAATCACTCGTCACCTGGACTCAAATCAGGTGATGTCGCGCGCTCAAAATGGATGTCGGGGCGGTGGTCGTGGAACCAAGGAACCACTCCTCATTGACGCGGTCATTGGCAAAGTGGTGAAACGCAACCGTCGGAACTTCTCCGCCGCCTGGATATTTTTGGTCGACATTACCATTCCGTGTGACGAGAACCTCGTGAAAGCCGAAACAGATAAGCAAACAAAATATCTGGACCTGGCTCACGAGGTGACCGACATGTGGGGTGGTCTGCCGACCGAAATTATTCCTGTAGTCGTCTCTGCAAACGGGCTAATCCCAGTCAGCCTCTCGGGTCATCTGAGGTGGCTGAGACTACGTGGCGTACCGCTCCAGGCTCAAATGCAGAAGGCGGTGCTCCTCGATACCGCCCGCATCGTCCGCCGGTTTCTTTCCCTTTCCCCCTAACCCTAGGCCGTTTGGTCTCCCCTGCCGAGGGCCTCCATCTGGTTGGGCTTTTATTTATGTATGTATTTTTGTATTTATTTTATATTATTGATGTTTATGTATATTTATCTTTTCATTTCCATTTATAATTATATATTTATAGAACCCAACCAGATGAGAAAATTATATTGATACCCCCACAATAATAATAATAATAACCGCTCCAGGTTCAAATGCAGAAGGCGGTGCTCCTCGATACCGCCCGCATCGTCCACCGGTTTCTTTCCTTTTCCCCCTAACCCTCGGCCGTTTGGTCTCCCCTGCCGAGGGCCTCCATCTGGTTGGGCTTTTATTTATTTATGTACTTTTATATTTATTTTATATTATTGATATTTATGTATATTTATCTTTTCATTTTCCATTTATAATTATATATTTATAGAACCCAACCAGATGAGAAAACTATATAGGTACCCCACAATAATAATAATAATAACGTCGTGCGTCGTGCGGTCGTGGAACCAAGGAACCACTCCTCACTGACGCGGTCATTGGCAAAGTGGTGAAACGCAACCGTCGGAACTTCTCCGCCGCCTGGATAGACTACAGAGAGGCATTCGACTCGGTGCCCCATACATGGTTAAAGAGAGTCCTCGAACTGTACAAGATAGACTGTACAGTTAGAGACTTCCTCGAGCAGTGTATGGGGCAGTGGAGTACAATCCTTTGTCATCTGGGCGAGCGGATGATGGCTGCGGAGAACCACATAAGGATAAGAAGGGGTATCTTCCAGGGCGATTGTCTGAGTCCAATATGGTTCTGCCTCTCTCTGAACCCTCTCAGTACCTTACTGGAGGGCTCCGGGAGGGGATTTCAGCTACGGAAAGGAGGGACAAAAATGACCCACCTTTTCTATATGGATGACCTCAAGTTATTCGCCTCCAGTCGCTCCCATCTTATGGAATTGCTAAACATCACTTGTGAATTTAGCAATTCCATTGGAATGGAGCTGGGGACGGATAAGTGTGCAGTACTCCATGTTGAGAGGGGTAGGGTTGCTAACTCTGAGGGCATAGACTTATCTATGCCCGTCAACTTAAGGACCCTTTCCGAGGCTGAAACATACCGATACCTGGGTATGTCACAGAACATCGGTATCGATGAGGCTGGTATGAAATAGTCAGTTTGCGACGTGTTTTATGCACGCTTGATCAAAGTGCTTAACAGCCTTTTGTCCGGTGTGAATAAGACACAAGCATATAACGGCTGGGTCATGCCTGTCCTCATGTATACCTTTGGCATACTCAGGTGGACTCAGACTGAGCTTAACGCCCTGGATAGAAAAGTCCGCACTACCATGACGTCCCACAGAATGCATCATCCGAGATCGTCGGTAATGAGGCTGTACTTGTCGCGAAAGCATGGTGGGCGTGGCTTCTTGAGCGCGCTCACCATGCATAATCGCGAAGTGTGCAGCCTCCGTAATTACTTCCTGGCGAGATCGGATGATCAATTCTATAAGGACGTCATTTCTTGTGATAAAGGACTTACCCCTCTATCCTTAGCCAACGAGCAATGGCAAGACCCGGCAGTGCAGACAATTTCCGACCGGGAGACCGTATGGAAGGAGAAGGAGCTCCACGGGAGGTTCTACAAGTCTCTACATGGGCCTTTCGTAGACACAGTAACTTCCCTCCACTGGCTACGCTTTGGTGACCTCTTCGGGGAAACCGAGGGTTTTGTCTGTGCAATACAGGATCAGGTTATTAAGACCAACAACTATCGGAGATACATCCTAAAGGATGGCACCATCGACATCTGTCGAGCTTGTCGCCATCCCGGTGAGTCACTTAGGCATGTCATCTCCGGTTGTTCGGCGCTTTCTAACTCTGAGTACTTGCACAGGCACAACCTAGTAGCCAGAATTCTACACCAGGAGCTCGCTCTGAAATACGGTTTCGTGGATCGGAAGTTGCCGTATTACAAGTACTTGCCGGAAGCCGTGCTCGAAAATGATCGCGCCAGGCTCTACTGGGACCGGGCCATCATCACAGACAGGACTATTCTTGCGAATAAGCCTGATATTGTGCTGATGGACCGGGCACAGTCAAGGATATTTTTGGTCGACATTACCATTCCGTGTGACGAGAACCTCGTGAAAGCCGAAACAGATAAGCAAACAAAATATCTGGACCTGGCTCACGAGGTGGCCGACATGTGGGGTGGTCTGCCGACCGAAATTATTCCTGTAGTCGTCTCTGCAAACGGGCTAATCCCAGTCATCCTCTCGGGTCATCTGAGGCGGCTGGGACTACGTGGCGGACAGCTCCAGGCTCAAATGCAGAAGGCGGTGCTCCTCGATACCGCCCGCATCGTCCGCCGGTTTCTTTCCCTTTCCCCCTAACCCTCGGCCGTTTGGTCTCCCCTGCCGAGGGCTTCCATCTGGTTGGGCTTTTATTTATTTATGTATTTTTTTATTTATTTTATTTTATTGATATTTATGTATATTTATCTTTTCATTTTCGTTTATAATTATATATTTACACATCCCAACCAGATGAGAAAACTATATAGATACCCCACATAATAATAATAAGAAAACTATATAGATACCCCACAATAATAATAAAGCCTCTTTATTCCTTATCCCTGCGTTTCTTTATTTTACATTTCCATGTTTTTTAGTACTTATTATTAGCATTATTAGCTTATTTCATATTAGTTATTTTTTGTACGGTTAACTGTGTATTATTTATCGCATTTGTTATTACATAGAATTACTGTACATTAAAGATAATAACAGTTATGTGACAAAACTGCGACGTCGGCGCAGTCAGTCAGCATCCTGCCAGGAGGTGTGAGCGCCGTGCCTAGGCAAAATTGTAGATGCAAAGGTCCGTTTGTGCATATGACCCAAGCACGAAAAGGTACCGGGCTTGGGCGTCTCCCGTTATTTGGCGCCCATAAAATGGATGATGGCACAGAAAGGAACGCGGATAGGACCGCTGCCTGGGGGTCGCCGGGGCGCGTCTGGAGCTGGCACTGGACGCGACAGCATGCGGGCCGCCAGCCGAGCGCGAGGAGCTGCACGATCACCTAGCAGCCCCTCGCATCCATCATCCCCACCAGAAGGCTTGGTGTCGGCTGGGTCTTCTCGGACCCAGCAAGCGGCACCCGCCGCTGGTGGAGCACGTCGCATGCGTTGGACAAAATCCATGAACGAAAACGCATTGCGGGCGTACTATAGGGCGAAAGGGGAAGAAACTGTGGGAATAGCGTATAGGTCTCGGATGCATTGCTTTTTTGCTGAGCTGGAGCCGTCTATCTCCGTCACGGAACAAAACCTGGCAGACCGAGTTCGGTACATGATGCGCTCGAAAATATTTGATGATGCCGAACTCGAACGACTACGACGTGAGGCTATTCCGTCGTCGAATGAATCGGCTATGGCTGGAGATGCAGCTCCACATTCGACAGACCAACATCCACACGTGGAAGCCACCATGGATCTTCCAGTTGTGGTTGATTCGATCGACGATGAAATAGTCTCCCACGAACTAGAACAAATGAGGAGTATATTGGAAGAGGCGATTTTGGAAACGCGCAGCACACCTCTCGAAAATGACCGCGACTTCCGACCTGCAAGCGAAATCGGGCTGTCGTGAGGGCTCTTAACCCAATGCTGGTGACCTATTTGGAAGCCAGCTGGGACCTTTGCGAGACGGACTCCATTCTCTTTGAAGCCGCAGTGGCAGTTTGCCGTATTATTGGCGCCAAACTTCCCATGGCTGGACGCGCTACTACACAAAGTAGCGCCATCCCAGCCTGGAGAAAAAGAATCGAGGACCGTATCGCAAAGGCAAGGGCCCTTATCGGTAGACTGACAAGCTTCAGGTCGGGTAATAATAGACCGAGGATTGTGCGCACCGTAAGGATGGCGTTTGCTGGGACAAATATCAGTTTGTACCAGCCGGATATCACGCAGAAACTAACGGAGCGCATAGACGACGGAAGCAAAAGATCGCTGCTTGGGGGAAGCGGATTCGACGATTTTCCGAGGGGTCAAGGCGTTTCAACCAGAATCGTCTCTTCCAGAGTGATCAGAAGAGGCTCTATAAATCATTGGAGAGACCAAAGGTATGTGGAGCGGGCCAAGTACCGGATCAGGCTGACACGGTTATCGCATTCTGGCGTGGCCTGTGGTCAGAGCCCGTAAACCACAGCGAGGGCCCTTGGATGGAAGTTGTGGCGAGCCAGGGTGCGAGTGTTACGCCTATGAACCCCATCACCATAACGCCAGAAGACGTGGCTGAGGCGGTCCGTAGGGCCCCGAACTGGAAAAGTCCGGGGCTCTACGGGCTGCATCATTACTGGCTGAAGGGGTTCATAGTGTGTCACGCTGTGCTCGCCCGACAGTTTCAAGAGGCTCTCGACCAGAAGTCACTCCCGAGCCTCTTCACTACTGGGATCACTCACGTGGTTCCTAAAGATCAGGATACCACAGACCCGAGCAAATACCGCCCCATCATGTGTCTACTCACCATATATAAGACACTGACATCCATTTTGAGAGCGAGAATCACTCGTCACTTGGAGCTAAACCAGGTGACGTCACGCGCTCAAAATGGATGTCGGGGCGGTGGTCGTGGAACTAAGGAACCACTCCTCATTGACGCGGTCATAGGCAAAGTGGTGAAACGCAACCGTCGGAACTTCTCTGCCGCCTTGATAGACTACAGAAAGGCGTTCGACTCGTTGCCCCATACATGGCTAAAGAGGGTCCTCGAGCTGTACATGATTGACTGTACAGTTAGAGACTTCCTCGAGCAGTGTATGGGGCAGTGGAGTACGATCCTCTGTTATCGGTACTCCGTGACGGACCGCTCCGGGCTCAAATGCAGAAGGCGGTGCTCCTTGATACTGCCCGCATCGTCCGCCGGTTTCTTTCCCTTTCCCCCTAACCCTTGGCCGTTTGGTCTCCCTTGCCGAGGACTTCCATCTGGTTGGGCTTTTATTTATTTATGTATTTTTGTATTTATTTTATTTTATTGATATTTATGTATATTTTATCTTTTCATTTTCGTTTATAATTATATATTTATACATCCCAACCAGATGAGAAAACTATATAGATATTCCACAATAATAATAAATCGTCGGTAATGAGGCTGTACTTGCCGCGAAAGCATGGTGGGCGTGGTTTTCTGAGCGCGCTCACCATGCATAATCGCGAAGTGTGCAGCCTCCGTGATTACTTCCTGGCGAGATCGGATGATCCATTCTATAATGACGTCATTTCTAGTGATAAAGGGCTTACCCCTCTATCCTTAGCCCACGAGCAACGGCAGGACCCAGCAGTGCTTAGCATTTCCGACCGGGAGACCGTATGGAAGGAGAAGGAGCTTTACTGGAGGTACTACAGGGCTCTTCATGAGCCCTTCGTAGATACAGTCTCCTCCCTCAACTGGTTACGTTTCGGTGACCTCTTCGGGGGAAACCGAGGGTTTTGTCTGTGCAATACAGGATCAGGTTATTAAGACCAACAACTATCGGAGATACATCTTAAAGGATGGCACCGTCGACGTCTGTCGAGCTTGTCGCCATCCCGGTGAATCACTTAGGCATGTCATCTCTGGTTGTTCGGCGCTTTCTAACTCTGAGTACTTGCACAGGCACAACCTAGTAGCCAGAATTCTACACCAGGAGCTCGCTCTGAAATACTCGTACTCGTACGTCTCGTGGACCGGAAATTGCCGTATTACAAGTACTTGCCGGAAGCCGTGCTCGAAAATGACTACGCCAGGCTCTACTGGGACCGGGCCATCATCACAGACAGGACTATTCTTGCGAATAAGCCTGATATTGTGCTGATGGACCGGGCATAGTCAAGGATATTTTTGGTCGACATTACCATTCCGTATGACGAGAACCTCGTGAAAGCCGAAACAGACAAGCAAACAAAATATCTGGACCTGGCTCACGAGGTGACCGACATGTGGGGTGGTCTGCCGACCGAAATTATTCCTGTAGTCGTCTCTGCAAACGGGCTAATCCCAGTCAGCCTCTCGGGTCATCTGAGGCGACTGGGACTACGTGGCGGACCGCTCCAGGTTCAAATGCAGAAGGCGATGCTCCTCGATACCGCCCGCATCGTCCGCCGGTTTCTTTCCCTTTCCCACTAACCCTCGGCCGTTTGGTCTCCCCTGCCGAGGGCCTCCATATGGTTGGGCTTTTATTTATTTATGTACTTTTATATTTATTTTATGTTATTGGTATTTATGTATATTTATCTTTTCATTTTCATTTATAATTATATATTTATAGAACCCAACCAGATGAGAAAACTATATAGATACTCCAAATAATAATAAATAAAATGGCGTAGGGAAGTGACGACCCCATCGCCCGCTGACGTGACGGTTATGTGACAAAACCGCTACGTCCGCGCAGTCAGTCAGCACCTTGCCAAGAGGTGTGAACGCCGAGCCTCGGCAAAAATTGATGGTGCAAGGGCCCGCTTGTGCATATGGCCTCACCATGAAATGGCGCCGGGTCTGGGCGTCTCCCGTTAAATGACGCCCTGTATGGATGATGGAACACAGAAGATTGCGCAAAGGGCCGCTGCCTGGAGGTCGTCAGGGTGCGTCTGGAGCTGGCGCTGGACGCGACAGCATGCGAACCGCCAGCCGAGCGCGAGGTGCTGCACCACAACCCAGCAGCCCCTCGCATCCATCATACCCACCAGCTTGCTTGGTGTCAGCAGGGTCTTCGCAGACCCAGCAATCGGCACCCGCCACTGGTGGAGTACGCCGCATGCGATGGACCATCAATATGAATACAAACGCATTGCGGGCGTATTTTAGGGCGAAAGGGGGAGAAATTGGAGGTTTCGCGTATCGGGCTAGGATGCATCGTCTTTTTACTGAGCTGGAGCCATCTATTACTGTCACCGAGCAAAACCTGGCAGACCGAGTTCGGTATATCTTACGCTCAAATATATTTGATGGCGCCGAATTCGAACGGCTACGACGTGAGGCTGTTCCCTCATCAAATGAAAACGCTAAGACTGGGGGTGCGGTGCCACAAGTTGCAGAACAACCCGCACACGTGGATGCCGCCGAGAATACCCCAGTGGTTGCTGATTCAAATGATGATGGAACATTCACCCAGGAACTAGAAATAGAGCAAAAATGAGGAGTACATTGTAAGAGGCGATTATGGAAACGCGCAGTACGCCTCTCGAAAATCGACCGCGACTTCCCCGCATAGCCCTAAGCAAGCGGAATCGGGCTGTCGTGAGAGCTCTGAACCCAATGCTGGTGACCTATTTGGAAGCCAGCCAGGACCTTTGCGAGACGGATTCAATTCTCTTTGGCGCCGCACTGGCGATGGCGTTTGCTGGGACAAATGTTAGTTTGTCCCAGCCGGATACAATGCAGAAACTGACGGAGCGCAAAGACGACCTGAAGCAGAGAATCGCTGCTTGGGGAAAGCGAATTCGGCGATATACCGAGAGGTCGACACGGTTCAACCAGAATCGTCTCTTCCAGAGTGATCAGAAGAGGCTCTATAAATCATTGGAGCGACCAATGGTAAGTGGAACGGGCCCAGTACCGAATCAGGCCGACACGGTCGCATTCTGGCGCAGCCTGTGGTCAGAGCCCGTTAACCACAACGAGGGCCCTTGGACGGAAGTTGTGGCGAGTATGTGTGCGGGTATAACGCCCATGGACCCCGTCACCATAACGCCGGATGACGTAGCTGAGGCGGTCCGTAGGGCCCCGAACTGGAAAAGTCCGGGACTCGACGGGCTGCATCACTACTGGCTGAAAGGGTTCGTGGTGTGTCACACTGTGCTCGCCCGACAGTTTCAAGAGGTTCTCAACCAGAAGTCGCTCCCGAGCCTCTTCACTACTGGGATCACCCATTTGGTTCCTAAAGGCCAGGGTACCAAAGACCCGAGCAAATACCGCCCCATCACATGTCTACCGACCATATACAAGACACTAACATCCATTTTGAGCGCGAGAATCACTCGTCACCTGGACTCAAATCAGGTGATGTCGCGCGCTCAAAATGGATGTCGGGGCGGCGGTCGTGGAACCAAGGAACCACTCCTCATTGACGCGGTCATTGGCAAAGTGGTGAAACGCAACCGTCGGAACTTCTCCGCCGCCTGGATAGACTACAGAAATGCATTCGACTCGGTGCCCCATACATGGCTAAAGAGAGTCCTCGAACTGTACAAGATAGACTGTACAGTTAGAGACTTCCTCGAGCAGTGTATGGGGCAGTGGAGTACGATCCTTTGTCATCTGGGCGAGCGGATGATGGCTGCGGAGAACCACATAAGTATAAGAAGGGGTATCTTCCAGGGCGATTGTCTGAGTCCAATATGGTTCTGCCTCTCTCTGAACCCTCTCAGTACCTTACTGGATGGCTCCGGGAGGGGATTTCAGCTACGGAAAGGAGGGACAAAAGTGACCCACCTTTTCTATATGAATGACCTCAAGTTATTCGCCTCCATTCGCTCCCATCTTATGGAATTGCTAAACATCACTTGTGAATTTAGCAATTCCATTGGAATGGAGCTGGGGAAGGATAAATGTGCGGTACTCTATGTCGAGAGGGGTAGGGTTGCTAACTCTGAGGGCATAGACTTATCTATGCCCGTCAACTTAAGGACCCTTTCCGAGGCTGAAACATACCGATACCTGGGTATGTCACAGAACATCGGTATCGATGAGGCTGGTATGAAACAGTCAGTTTGCGACGTGTTTTATGCACGCTTGATCAAAGTGCTTAACAGCCTTTTGTCCGGTGTGAATAAGTCACACGCATATAACTGCTGGGTCATGCCTGTCCTCATGTATACCTTTGGCATACTCAGGTGGACTCAGACTGAGCTTAACGCCCTGGATAGAAAAGTCCGCACTACCATGACGTCCCACAGGATGCATCATCCGAGATCGTCGGTAATGAGGCTGTACTTGCCGCGAAAGCATGGTGGACGTAGCTTCTTGAGCGCGCTCACCATGCATAATCGCGAAGTGTGCAGCCTCCGTAATTACTTCCTGGCGAGATCGGATGATCCATTCTATAAGGACGTCATTTCTTGTGATAAAGGACTTACCCCTCTATCCTTAGCCAACGAGCAATGGCAAGACCCGGCAGTGCAGACAATTTCCGACCGGGAGACCGTATGGAAGAAGAAGGAGCACACCTCTCGAAAATCGACCGCGACTTCCCCGCATACCCCTAAGCAAGCGAAATCGGGCTGTCGTGAGGGCTCTTAACCCAATGCTGGTGACCTATTTGGAAGCCAGCTGGGACCTTTGCGAGACGGACTCCATTCTCTTTGAAGCCGCAGTGGCAGTTTGCCGTATTATTGGCGCCAAACTTCCCATGGCTGGACGCGCTACTACACAAAGTAGCGCCATCCCAGCCTGGAGAAAAAGAATCGAGGACCGTATCGCAAAGGCAAGGGCCCTTATCGGTAGACTGACAAGCTTCAGGTCGGGTAATAATAGACCGAGGATTGTGCGCACCGTAAGGATGGCGTTTGCTGGGACAAATATCAGTTTGTACCAGCCGGATATCACGCAGAAACTAACGGAGCGCATAGACGACGGAAGCAAAAGATCGCTGCTTGGGGGAAGCGGATTCGACGATTTTCCGAGGGGTCAAGGCGTTTCAACCAGAATCGTCTCTTCCAGAGTGATCAGAAGAGGCTCTATAAATCATTGGAGAGACCAAAGGTATGTGGAGCGGGCCAAGGACCGGATCAGGCTGACATTATCGCATTCTGGCGTGGCCTGTGGTCAGAGCCCGTAAACCACAGCGAGGGCCCTTGGATGGAAGTTGTGGCGAGCCAGGGTGCGAGTGTTACGCCTATGAACCCCATCACCATAACGCCAGAAGACGTGGCTGAGGCGGTCCGTAGGGCCCCGAACTGGAAAAGTCCGGGGCTCTACGGGCTGCATCATTACTGGCTGAAGGGGTTCATAGTGTGTCACGCTGTGCTCGCCCGACAGTTTCAAGAGGCTCTCGACCAGAAGTCACTCCCGAGCCTCTTCACTACTGGGATCACTCACGTGGTTCCTAAAGATCAGGATACCACAGACCCGAGCAAATACCGCCCCATCATGTGTCTACTCACCATATATAAGACACTGACATCCATTTTGAGAGCGAGAATCACTCGTCACTAGGAGCTAAACCAGGTGACGTCACGCGCTCAAAATGGATGTCGGGGCGGTGGTCGTGGAACTAAGGAACCACTCCTCATTGACGCGGTCATAGGCAAAGTGGTGAAACGCAACCGTCGGAACTTCTCTGCCGCCTTGATAGACTACAGAAAGGCGTTCGACTCGTTGCCCCATACATGGCTAAAGAGGGTCCTCGAGCTGTACATGATTGACTGTACAGTTAGAGACTTCCTCGAGCAGTGTATGGGGCAGTGGAGTACGATCCTCTGTTATCGGTACTCCGTGACGGACCGCTCCGGGCTCAAATGCAGAAGGCGGTGCTCCTTGATACTGCCCGCATCGTCCGCCGGTTTCTTTCCCTTTCCCCCCTAACCCTTGGCCGTTTGGTCTCCCTTGCCGAGGACTTCCATCTGGTTGGGCTTTTATTTATTTATGTATTTTTGTATTTATTTTATTTTATTGATATTTATGTATATTTTATCTTTTCATTTTCGTTTATAATTATATATTTATACATCCCAACCAGATGAGAAAACTATATAGATATTCCACAATAATAATAAATCGTCGGTAATGAGGCTGTACTTGCCGCGAAAGCATGGTGGGCGTGGTTTTCTGAGCGCGCTCACCATGCATAATCGCGAAGTGTGCAGCCTCCGTGATTACTTCCTGGCGAGATCGGATGATCCATTCTATAATGACGTCATTTCTAGTGATAAAGGGCTTACCCCTCTATCCTTAGCCCACGAGCAACGGCAGGACCCAGCAGTGCTTAGCATTTCCGACCGGGAGACCGTATGGAAGGAGAAGGAGCTTTACTGGAGGTACTACAGGGCTCTTCATGAGCCCTTCGTAGATACAGTCTCCTCCCCTCAACTGGTTACGTTTCGGTGACCTCTTCGGGGAAACCGAGGGTTTTGTCTGTGCAATACAGGATCAGGTTATTAAGACCAACAACTATCGGAGATACATCTTAAAGGATGGCACCGTCGACGTCTGTCGAGCTTGTCGCCATCCCGGTGAATCACTTAGGCATGTCATCTCTGGTTGTTCGGCGCTTTCTAACTCTGAGTACTTGCACAGGCACAACCTAGTAGCCAGAATTCTACACCAGGAGCTCGCTCTGAAATACTCGTACTCGTACGTCTCGTGGACCGGAAATTGCCGTATTACAAGTACTTGCCGGAAGCCGTGCTCGAAAATGACTACGCCAGGCTCTACTGGGACCGGGCCATCATCACAGACAGGACTATTCTTGCGAATAAGCCTGATATTGTGCTGATGGACCGGGCATAGTCAAGGATATTTTTGGTCGACATTACCATTCCGTATGACGAGAACCTCGTGAAAGCCGAAACAGACAAGCAAACAAAATATCTGGACCTGGCTCACGAGGTGACCGACATGTGGGGTGGTCTGCCGACCGAAATTATTCCTGTAGTCGTCTCTGCAAACGGGCTAATCCCAGTCAGCCTCTCGGGTCATCTGAGGCGACTGGGACTACGTGGCGGACCGCTCCAGGTTCAAATGCAGAAGGCGATGCTCCTCGATACCGCCCGCATCGTCCGCCGGTTTCTTTCCCTTTCCCACTAACCCTCGGCCGTTTGGTCTCCCCTGCCGAGGGCCTCCATATGGTTGGGCTTTTATTTATTTATGTACTTTTATATTTATTTTATGTTATTGGTATTTATGTATATTTATCTTTTCATTTTCATTTATAATTATATATTTATAGAACCCAACCAGATGAGAAAACTATATAGATACTCCAAATAATAATAAATAAAATGGCGTAGGGAAGTGACGACCCCATCGCCCGCTGACGTGACGGTTATGTGACAAAACCGCTACGTCCGCGCAGTCAGTCAGCACCTTGCCAAGAGGTGTGAACGCCGAGCCTCGGCAAAAATTGATGGTGCAAGGGCCCGCTTGTGCATATGGCCTCACCATGAAACGGCGCCGGGTCTGGGCGTCTCCCGTTAAATGACGCCCTGTATGGATGATGGAACACAGAAGATTGCGCAAAGGGCCGCTGCCTGGAGGTCGTCAGGGTGCGTCTGGAGCTGGCGCTGGACGCGACAGCATGCGAACCGCCAGCCGAGCGCGAGGTGCTGCACCACAACCCAGCAGCCCCTCGCATCCATCATACCCACCAGCTTGCTTGGTGTCAGCAGGGTCTTCGCAGACCCAGCAATCGGCACCCGCCACTGGTGGAGTACGCCGCATGCGATGGACCATCAATATGAATACAAACGCATTGCGGGCGTATTTTAGGGCGAAAGGGGGAGAAATTGGAGGTTTCGCGTATCGGGCTAGGATGCATCGTCTTTTTACTGAGCTGGAGCCATCTATTACTGTCACCGAGCAAAACCTGGCAGACCGAGTTCGGTATATCTTACGCTCAAATATATTTGATGGCGCCGAAATCGAACGGCTACGACGTGAGGCTGTTCCCCTCATCAAATGAAAACGCTAAGACTGGGGGTGCGGTGCCACAAGTTGCAGAACAACCCGCACACGTGGATGCCGCCGAGAATACCCCAGTGGTTGCTGATTCAAATGATGATGGAACATTCACCCAGGAACTAGAAATAGAGCAAAAATGAGGAGTACATTGTAAGAGGCGATTATGGAAACGCGCAGTACGCCTCTCGAAAATCGACCGCGACTTCCCCGCATAGCCCTAAGCAAGCGGAATCGGGCTGTCGTGAGAGCTCTGAACCCAATGCTGGTGACCTATTTGGAAGCCAGCCGGGACCTTTGCGAGACGGATTCAATTCTCTTTGGCGCCGCACTGGCGATGGCGTTTGCTGGGACAAATGTTAGTTTGTCCCAGCCGGATACAATGCAGAAACTGACGGAGCGCAAAGACGACCTGAAGCAGAGAATCGCTGCTTGGGGAAAGCGAATTCGGCGATATACCGAGAGGTCGACACGGTTCAACCAGAATCGTCTCTTCCAGAGTGATCAGAAGAGGCTCTATAAATCATTGGAGCGACCAATGGTAAGTGGAACGGGCCCAGTACCGAATCAGGCCGACACGGTCGCATTCTGGCGCAGCCTGTGGTCAGAGCCCGTTAACCACAACGAGGGCCCTTGGACGGAAGTTGTGGCGAGTATGTGTGCGGGTATAACGCCCATGGACCCCGTCACCATAACGCCGGATGACGTAGCTGAGGCGGTCCGTAGGGCCCCGAACTGGAAAAGTCCGGGACTCGACGGGCTGCATCACTACTGGCTGAAAGGGTTCGTGGTGTGTCACACTGTGCTCGCCCGACAGTTTCAAGAGGTTCTCAACCAGAAGTCGCTCCCGAGCCTCTTCACTACTGGGATCACCCATTTGGTTCCTAAAGGCCAGGGTACCAAAGACCCGAGCAAATACCGCCCCATCACATGTCTACCGACCATATACAAGACACTAACATCCATTTTGAGCGCGAGAATCACTCGTCACCTGGACTCAAATCAGGTGATGTCGCGCGCTCAAAATGGATGTCGGGGCGGCGGTCGTGGAACCAAGGAACCACTCCTCATTGACGCGGTCATTGGCAAAGTGGTGAAACGCAACCGTCGGAACTTCTCCGCCGCCTGGATAGACTACAGAAATGCATTCGACTCGGTGCCCCATACATGGCTAAAGAGAGTCCTCGAACTGTACAAGATAGACTGTACAGTTAGAGACTTCCTCGAGCAGTGTATGGGGCAGTGGAGTACGATCCTTTGTCATCTGGGCGAGCGGATGATGGCTGCGGAGAACCACATAAGTATAAGAAGGGGTATCTTCCAGGGCGATTGTCTGAGTCCAATATGGTTCTGCCTCTCTCTGAACCCTCTCAGTACCTTACTGGATGGCTCCGGGAGGGGATTTCAGCTACGGAAAGGAGGGACAAAAGTGACCCACCTTTTCTATATGAATGACCTCAAGTTATTCGCCTCCATTCGCTCCCATCTTATGGAATTGCTAAACATCACTTGTGAATTTAGCAATTCCATTGGAATGGAGCTGGGGAAGGATAAATGTGCGGTACTCTATGTCGAGAGGGGTAGGGTTGCTAACTCTGAGGGCATAGACTTATCTATGCCCGTCAACTTAAGGACCCTTTCCGAGGCTGAAACATACCGATACCTGGGTATGTCACAGAACATCGGTATCGATGAGGCTGGTATGAAACAGTCAGTTTGCGACGTGTTTTATGCACGCTTGATCAAAGTGCTTAACAGCCTTTTGTCCGGTGTGAATAAGTCACACGCATATAACTGCTGGGTCATGCCTGTCCTCATGTATACCTTTGGCATACTCAGGTGGACTCAGACTGAGCTTAACGCCCTGGATAGAAAAGTCCGCACTACCATGACGTCCCACAGGATGCATCATCCGAGATCGTCGGTAATGAGGCTGTACTTGCCGCGAAAGCATGGTGGACGTAGCTTCTTGAGCGCGCTCACCATGCATAATCGCGAAGTGTGCAGCCTCCGTAATTACTTCCTGGCGAGATCGGATGATCCATTCTATAAGGACGTCATTTCTTGTGATAAAGGACTTACCCCTCTATCCTTAGCCAACGAGCAATGGCAAGACCCGGCAGTGCAGACAATTTCCGACCGGGAGACCGTATGGAAGAAGAAGGAGCTCCACGGGAGGTTCTACAAGTCTCTACATGGGCCTTTCGTAGACACAGTAACCTCCCTCCACTGGCTACGCTTTGGTGACCTCTTCGGGGAAACCGAGGGTTTTGTCTGTGCAATACAGGATCAGGTTATTAAGACCAACAACTATCGGAGATACATCCTAAAGTATGGCACCATCGACATCTGTCGAGCTTGTCGCCATCCCGGTCAGTCACTTAGGCATGTCATCTCCGGTTATTCGGCGCTTTCTAACTCTGAGTACTTGCACAGGCACAACCTAGTAGCCAGAATTCTACACCAGGAGCTCGCTCTGAAATACGGTTTCGTGGATCGGAAGTTGCCGTATTACAAGTACTTGCCGGAAGCCGTGCTCGAAAATGATCGCGCCAGGCTCTATTGGGACCGGGCCATCATCACAGAAAGGACTATTCTTGCGACTAAGCCTGATATTGTGCTGATGGTCCGGGCACAGTCAAGGATATTTTTGGTCGACATTACCATTCCGTGTGACGAGAACCTCGTGAAAGCCGAAACAGATAAGCAAACAAAATATCTGGACCTGGCTCACGAGGTGACCGACATGTGGGGTAGTCTGCCAACCGAAATTATACCTGCAGTCGTCTCTGCAAACGGGCTAATCCCAGTCAGCCTCTCGGGTCATCTGAGGCGGCTGGGACTACGTGGCGGACCGCTCCAGGCTCAAATCCAGAAGGCGGTGCTCCTCGATACCGCCCGCATCGTCCGCCGGTTTCTTTCCCTTTCCCCCTAACCCTCGGCCGTTTGGTCTCCCCTGCCGAGGGCTTCCATCTGGTTGGGCTTTTATTTATTTATGTATTTTTTTATTTATTCTATTTTATTGATATTTATGTATATTTATCTTTTCATTTTCGTTTATAATTATATATTTATACATCCCAACCAGATGAGAAAACTATATAGATACCCTACATAATAATAATAAAAAGGCGTAGGGAAGTGACGACCCCATCGCCCGCTGACGTAACAGTTATGTGACAAAACTACTACGTCGGCGCAGTCAGTCAGCGCCCTGCCAAGAGGTGTGAGCGCCGTGCGTAGACAAAATTGTGGGTGCAAAGGTCCGTTTGTGCATATGACCGAACCACGAAACGGTGCCGGGCTTGGGCGTCACCCGTTATTTGGCGCCCATAAATGGATCATGGTACAAAGAGGAACGCGCATAGGGCCGCTGCCTGGGGGTTGCCGGAGCGCGTCTGGAGCTGGCGCTGGACGCGGCAGCATGCGGGCCGCCAGCCTAGCGCGAGGAGCTGTACGATCACCTAGCAGCCCTCCGCATCCATCATCCCTACCAGAAGGCTTGGTGTCGGCTGGGTCTTCTCGGACTCAGCAAGCGGCACCCGCCGCTGGTGGAGCACGTCGCATGCGTTGGTCACAAACAATGAACGCAAACGCACTGCGGGCGTACTTTATGGCAAAAGGGGAAGAAACCGGATGTTTGGCATATCGGGCTCGGATGCATTGCTTTTTTGCATGTTACGGCTGGGAATGCGGCGCCACTAATTGCGCAGCAAACTGCAAATGTGGACGCTGCCGTCAATATTCCATTTGTGGTTGATTCAGACGATGATGGAATAGTCCCCCACGAACTAGAGAAAGTGAGGAGCATATTGGAAGAGTCGATGCTGGAAACGCGCAGCATGCCTCTCGAAAATCGACCGCGACTTCCCCGCATACCCCTTAGCCAGCGAAATCGGACTGTCGTGCGTGCTCTTCACCCAATGCTGGTGACCTATTTGGAAGCCAGTCGGGACCTTTGCGAGACGGACTCAATTCTTTTTGGCGCCGCACTGGCAGTATGCCGTATTATTGGCGCCAAACTTCCCATGGCTGGACGTGCTACTCAACAAGGTAGTGCCATCCCAGCCTGGAGAAAAAGAATCGAGGACCGTATCGCAAAGGCAAGGGCCCTTATCGGCAGACTGACAAGCTTCAGGTCGGGTAATATTAGACCGAGAGTTGTGCGCACCGTTAGAATGGCGTTTGCTGGGACAAATTTTAGTTTGTCCCAGCCGGATATCACGCAGAAACTAACGGAGCGCATAGATGACCTGAAGCAAAAAATCGCTGCTTGGAGGAAGCGGATTCGACGATTTAACGAGAGGTCAAGGCGGTTCAACCAAAATCGTCTCTTCCAAAGTGATCAGAAGAGGCTCTATAAATCATTGGAGCGACCAGAGGTATGTGGAGCGGGCCCAGGACTGGATCAGGCTGACACTGTCGCATTTTGGCGTGGCCTGTGGTCAGAGCCCGTAAACCACAGCGAGGGCCCTTGGATGGAAGTTGTGGCGAGCCAGAGTGCAAGTGTTACGCCTATGGACTCCGTCACCATAACGCCTGAAGACGTGGCTGAGGCGGTCCGTAGGGCCCCGAACTGGAAAATTCCGGGGCTCGACGGGCTGCATCATTACTGGCTGAAGGGGTTCGTAGTGTTTCACGCTGTGCTCGCCCGACAGTATCAAGAGACTCTCGATCAGAAGTCGCTCCCGAGCCTCTTCACTACTGGGATCACTCACTTGGTTCCTAAAGATCAGGATACCACAGACCCGAGCAAATACCTCCCCATCACGTGTCTACCCACTATATATAAGACACTGACATCCATTTTGAGCGCGAGAATCACTCGTCACCTGGAGCTAAATCAGGTGATGTCACGCGCTCAAAATGGATGTCGGGGCGGTGGTCGTGGAACCAAGGAACCACTACTCATTGACGCGGTCATTGGCAAAGTGGTGAAACGCAACCGTCGGAACTTCTCCGCCACCTGGATAGACTACAGAAAAGCATTCGACTCGGTGCCCCATGCATGGCTAAAGAGGGTCCTCGATCTGTACAAGATTGACTGTACAGTTAGAGACTTCCTCGAGCAGTGTATGGGGCAGTGGAGTACGATCCTCTGTTATCAGGGCGAGCGGATGATGACTGCGGAGAACCACATAAGGATAAGAAGGGGTATCTTCCAGGGAGATTGTCTGAGTCCAATCTGGTTCTGCCTCTCTTGAACCCTCTCAGTACCTTACTGGAGGGCTCCGGGAGAGGATTTCAGCTACGGAAAGGAGGAACAAAAGTGACCCACCTTTTCTATATGGATGACCTCAAGTTATTCGCCTCCAGTCGCTCCCATCTTATGGAATTGCTAAACATCACTTGTGAATTTAGCAATTCCATTGGAATGGAGCTGGGGACGGATAAGTGTGCGGTCCTTCATGTTGAAAGGGGAAGGGTTGCTAACTCTGAGGGCATAGATTTATCTATGCCCGTCAACTTAAAGACCCTTTCCGAGGCTGAAACATACCGATACCTGGGTATGTCACAGAACATCGGAATCGATGAGGCTGGTATGAAACAGTCAGTTTGCGACGTGTTTTATGCACGCTTGACCAAAGTGCTTAACAGCCTTTTGTCCGGTGTGAATAAGACACACGCATATAACGGTTGGGTCATGCCTGTCCTCATGTACACCTTTGGCATACTCAGGTGGACTCAGACCGAACTTAACGCCCTGGATAGAAAAGTCCGCACTACCATGACGTCCCATAGGATGCATCATCCGATCGTCGGTAATGAGGCTGTACTTGCCGCGAAAGCACGATGGGTGTGGTTTTCTGAGCGCGCTCACCATGCATAATCGCGAAGTGTGCAGCCTCCGTGATTACTTCCTGGCGAGATCGGATGATCCATTCTTTAATGACGTCATTTCTAGTGATAAAGGGCTTACCCCTCTATCCTTAGCCCACGAGCAATGGCAGGACCCAGCAGTGCTTAGCATTTCCGACCGCGAGACCGTATGGAAGGAGAAGGAGCTCCACGGGAGGTACTACAGGGCTCTTCATGAGCCCTTCGTAGATACAGTCGCCTCCCTCAACTGGCTACGTTTCGGTGACCTCTTCGGGGGAAACGAGGGTTTTGTCTGTGCAATAGAGGATCAGGTTATTAAGACCAACAACTATCGGAGATACATCCTAAAGGATGACACCCTCGACGTCTGTCGAGCTTGTCGCCATCCCGGTGAATCACTTAGGCATGTCATCTCCGGTTGTTCGGCGCTTTCTAACTCTGAGTACTTGCACAGGCACAACCTAGTAGCCAGAATTCTACACCAGGCGCTCGCTCTGAAATACGGTCTCGTGGACCGGAAATTGCCGTATTATAAGTACTTGCCGGAAGCCGTACTCGAAAATGACCGCGCCAGGCTCTACTGGGACCGGGCCATCATCACAGACAGGACTATTCTTGCAAATAAGCCTGATATTGTGCTGATGGACCGGGCACAGTCAAGGATATTTTTGGTCGACATTACCATTCCGTATGACGAGAACCTCGTGAAAGCCGAAACAGATAAGCAAACAAAATATCTGGACCTGGCTCACGAGGTGACCGACATGTGGGGTGGTCTGCCGACCGAAATTATTCCTGTAGTCGTTTCTGCAAACGGGCTAATCCCAGTCAGCCTCTCGGGTCATCTGAGGCGACTGGGACTCCGTGACGGACCGCTCCGGGCTCAAATGCAGAAGGCAGTGGTCCTCGATACCGCCCGCATCGTCCGTCGGTTTCTTTCCCTTTCTCCCTAACCCTCGGCCGTTTGGTCTCCCCTGCCGAGGGCTTCCATCTGGTTGGATCTTTATTTATTTGTGTATTTTTTGTATTTATTTTATTTTATTGATATTTATATATATTTATCTTTTCATTTTAATTTATAATTATATATTTATAGAAACCAACCAGATGAGAAAACTATACAGATACCCCAAAAATAATAATAAGAAAACTATATAGATACCCCACAATAATAATAATAAAGCCTCTTTATTCCTTATCCATGCGTTTCTTTATTTTACATTTCCATGTTGTTTAGTACTTATTATTAGCATTATTAGCTTATTTCATATTAGTTATTTTTTGTACGGTTAACTGTGTATATTTTAAGAGATATGGATCCCATTTTGAGTAAAGGTCTCCTCCATCTAATTCCACATTTCTCTATTTATACTTTTGCTCATCCAGTCTTTTCCTGCATACTGTATTGTGTCATGAGCCCACCGTTTATGTGGTCTTCCAACTTTCCTTTTGCCAGATACTGGTCCCTTCAATCGTGTGATTTGTATTGTCCATCTATTATCTGGGTATCGTGAGACGTGCCCTGCTCATTTCCAATTTAACCTTTAAAAATTTATTTTAGTGACCAAAACTTTCTCCATGCATTGTTTTTTCTTCTTTGTACTTCGTCTTCGTCGTTCGTTTTCATGAAGGATATTTGTTTCCCCCAAGTAAATGTAGTTTTTACGTATTCTATATTGTTTCCTTTTGGGGTGATAGGTATGTTGTGACTGTTGGTCATTATCTTAGTCTTGTTTGCATTCATCTCCAAACCTACTTTTAAACTTTCTTGGTCTAGTGAGTGTAGCATTTCCTTAAGTTGTTTAGCTGTTTCAGCAAATATGACTATGTTATCTGCTAACCTAAGATGATTTTTTTTGTAGGATAGGGTGACAAACGAGCACACAGTCCACCTGATGGTAAGTGGTTGCTGTGGCCCATAAACATCCACATCCATCCTTGACTACGAATCAAAACGCAGATGTGCTGTCACCCGTGAGGACTAAGATGGAATGCCTCGTTTCCAGCAAAAAGGGTCTCCGTTTCTCTACACGCACCATACGAAATACAACAGCATTAAGCTACTATTTCACGCTGGTATTCTGTGAGAGCGTGGTCCTTCCCCGGTCGAGCCGACCCATTCGTGCTACAACTATACTACTAATATAACTGCAGCATGGCTCTACCACGTATGAAATGCATGAATCTGTCTTTTTAAAATGATAAATATGGACAAAATAAGTGAGGCGCTGCGATCGCTAAGTTGTCTCAATAAAAGCGGGCTGTTGTGCGCTAGTTTGAAATGATTATAATATCATTAAAAGAAAAAAAAGAAAATAACGAAATTATTATTATTTATTAAAAATAAATTATAAATTATGTTTTTTTATAATTTTAATTATTATGTAATAATTAGTATGTAATAATTCACAATTTATTATGAATATAAATTATTAATTATTTTTATTTATTATTATTTTTAATAATATTTCACCATTGTATAATGATTCTTTTTGTCAATAATTAACAATTACTTTGCAGATACTAGCTACTTACCGGCGGCAGCGCGGCTATAAATTCTAAAAATTTTCAAGGACAGGCGGGCTATGCTATACGTAGTGATTATTCTCCTGTTCTCTAACTTCCAAGCTCCATACTTTGGTGGTTGGTGATCTTGGTCGGAGTTTTGTTTGACTGTCGCTCCTGTTTTGTCGCTTGAATAATGGTTTGAAGCGGTTTTTGATTCGTAAAAGTGATGTGATTTTGTGAATTAAGTGACAGCGTTTGTGAACTATTAGAGAAAACGACGAAACAAGTGCTTTGATGTTGATATAAACCTAGAGTTAAATTGATCGCTTAGGCGTCTTATGAACTTGAGTGGCTCTCGTCATCAACAGTCCGCTGGGTTGAGCTATCGTCAAAATCTCCCAAAAACTTCGCAATGTGACGCATCAGCATGTTGTGAAGAAAAATATATAAAATGAAGATTCTGAAAGAAATAAAAGGCTCAGAAGTGCTAGTACCCAGAGCCGTAAAGCCAGTTAAATAAAAAATAAAAAATATGGTATTATCGTAAACAGAGAAACCTATAGATAAATTGACGCCTTCTTTCGCATTCGCACACGAAAATGATAGATCTATGCATACGTCTTGCATAGAAATGAGACAGAGCGCTGTGATTGTTTGTCCCTTTCTCCGTGCCGGTTTTTTTGTTTAGCAAACTAGACTTTGCTAAACAACTTACAAAAGTTATTAATGATTTCTTATATTTACGCGAACGTTGCACATGATTAAAACTACTTTTACGGATTTTATCGCGTTTATTTTTACTTTTTATTATTAATTCCCGACGTTTCGGGCGCTTTCCAGCACCCATGGTCACGGGGGACTGAGATGACTGACGTCCCGATATCATTGTTAAACCCGGAGTACCTTCAGCTTTTTTAATTATTGTTTATGGTCCGATCTATGCAAAATGAACTACTCATTGTTACTGTACTGTTTTATTAATGAGGTAAATGAGTTCATTTTATTTATTTCTAATGCTCCGACAATTCCATTGAAGAATTGGTGGGACTGCGAATGTTACGGGCTAAGGAGGAAAGCTGAGTAAGTTTTTGGTGTAAGCTGAGAGGAAGTTCCGTGTCACTAAAACGGGAGATCATGTTAATTAGCATTGATATCATAAGTTCGCAGAAATTATCATTACTAGAGGAGTTGATGTCATTTCCCAGTCGAGCACACCCATTAGGAAGGGAAGAATTAGGATTCTCAACAATTGCCTGATGGGCTGCCATATCATATCCAGAATTTAATGATTGGCTGCAGGTACGTTGAGGGATAAAAATTGTTTTTTTATATGATGCAGTTTGTGAGAGCTGAGCCGAAGGGGTTGAAAGACTGTCAGTTATAGTATAAGGGGTCTGTTGAGAACAATTACGAGCTTGGATTCTTGTTGTATCAGCAAAGGATCTTTTTGTCTGAGGGAATCTAGCTGAAGCTTCTAAATATGAAATATTTTCTTGTCACATAACAAGTTTAATAGATTTTTGCCTTAGATGTTTAGGACACGTAGGGTCTTTTGCGGTGTAGGGACCAGAGCAGAATAGGCAAGTAGGAGTTTGTCGAGTACAAGATAAACCTTCATGATTTTGTGCACATACAAAGCAGCGAGGGGATGATCGGCATTGGGAAGTAACATGGCCAAATCTACAACATTTATGACACTGAATTAGTGGCAAAACATATTTTTCCACTGGCATTGAGGTGTAAAAACAGTAAATATGGGGAGGAAGTTTTTGTCCAGAAAAAGTTAGAACAACCCTCTGAGTTGGAACCCATGAAACGCTATTACTGTCACTCACTGATGGGGTGGTTGCTTCATATTTAGAAATTTGGAGAGCTGGGTGATCGATAAAGGTGTTTGCATCTGCAGCTGTTTTAAACTCCACTGATATTCCATTTCGTCCAACTTTTTTGAGTCCACCATGGACTATATTTTTAATATTGTTATGATATAGAAAGTGACCGAATTTAATTGGTTTAAGAGTTACTCCAGACTGCTGATCATTTGAGATTTTACTTACGTGAACTAGAAAAGGAGCGGCATCATCTTGAGAGTACTTAACTTTTTTATTAATAAAATCAGGATGGGTATATGAGGATTGTATTGAAGGAAACTGTTGATTTGGATCAGTAATAACTATTTTTTGTGGATGGGCAGACTCGTTACTTACTTGGGCACGTTTACGGTTAATTCGTTATCTACATTATCAATGTTAATGGGTAAGGAAAAGGAATCATTGCGAACCCTTCCGGGATCGGGAGGTTCATACTCCATTATATTACTACAATAAAAAATTACATAAAAACGGCACAACTACAAACACTTACTAATTTACAGATGTTAAAACCTCCACCAAGACAGAAAAATTTACTATAGTAAATCAACAACACTTAATAAAACAATAAATTTTAAGCAAAAAAGGCACGACACTTGTATCTCTCACTTCCTCCTTTTTCGTATTTATGGTCTTGGTCCGTCTTATTTGGTCTTATTCCGTCAATGTCAATTGTCACTGTCAGTTTAATTTTTATTCTACAAACAATAAAAAATTGTTAAAATTGTTTTTATTGATCATCTACAATGCAAGACGGTAAGTTGCATTAATATTAGACTTATAGTAATTATTAACTATAAACATAGACCAACTGTTTTATGCAAGTTTTATTTTTGTTTTTAGATTTAGAAGTCACTGGTATTTCTCGCAGTGGTAGAGTAAGGAAGAAAAGCTCAAAATTAATGGATTTTGAGTCTCCAGATGATATAGAGGCCAGATATCGGCGACAAACACCTGTGAAGACCTATCCTGGTCTCAAACAGGAAGAACCTATTGATTACAAGGAACAGCCGCAAAGACCCGTTGAGGAAGCTGGCACGGCGTCAGGCAGTGAATCGGATTATTTTGAAAATAATGGTGAAAATGGAGAAAGGTTAGTTTTAAAAGTTTAAAATTAGATAAAAAGATAATTAAGGAGGTACCTCCATTGTAAAGGTGACCTAAATGCCGACTATAACAGCTAATAGTAGTTATTTTTAGTTGTTTTAGTGTTATAGTATCTGGTGATTTGCTAGCTACTACTGTAGCACATTTGGTTTTTGTTAGATGTATATATATATATTGTTATAGTGTGTGTAACCTTGAGGAGTGGAAAATTTGGTAACGACTATAATTTCGCTAGTAGTGTGTTTGCGTTTTTTTTTTTATATAAGTCTGATTGCTTACAAAGGTTATGTTCTAATGATGGACATGCATGACAACACTTTGTAAAATGAAAAGAAAAATGTGCCATTCTTTCTGCTAACACTACAATCACCATTTAAAAAGTCCCTGTTTATGTTTACACACACACACTTTAGTAAACCAATACTCATCACGATCACAAACCATAACTATACAGACTGTGAGATAGAATGTCTATACCTTGTAAACAGTCCACTGCTGGACATGGGCATCTTTCATAGAAAGGAGAATTTTGTTAATTTAATAATATAAATTTAAATTAATAGTATAAAGCAGTACCACCTATTAATTTCAGTATGGAGTCTGATAGCTCAGCATCAGATGAGGGCTCAACAAGAACTCCAGCTAATTCAATATATATGATGGAAAAAAACAATAAGAAAAAGTTGATAATAAAAGATGGAAGGGTGATTGGTAGGGCAAAAGCTCAGAGAAAAGATAAAGGTAATTAGAAAACATGCATATTTTGGAGTATTCATTTCATTCTCAATATGTCAACTAATATTTTCTATAAATATCAATATATTGCACCCCCGCTAAAAAAGAGTCGCAACTCGAAAAAAAAAATGGTTTTGAGTAAAACGCTGTTGAAGTATTTACTTAAATTGTGGCCTCAATTTTTCAGTAACCAAAGCAACATGTTGAATATATGTTGTTTTATTTTGAAAGTTGTAATTTGGGTGGTTTAAATGTCATAAAAATAAATTTGTATAGAATTTTTGTTTGTCTGTATTTTTGGTAAAAAAATAAAATGGTCCAATTTGTGACTCTTTTTTAGAATAAACATTAACTGTTTTTAAAAATGACACAAACAAAAAGTTAATATAAAACATAAAAATAAAGTAAAATGCATATTTATTTATAAATTATTACAAGGCATCATAATAAGGCAAGTAAAATTTAGGAATATGATTATGTTCTATTAAACTCAGAAGATCCATTTTTTGTTTTCTTTGATTCTAATTGCATTTTTGTAGACCTGCTTTAAAGTACTAGGAATAGGTTTCTTTTTACGGCATAATTGTACTTGCTTAAATTCTTCATCTTTATAGGATCTTTTATAATAAAGTGTGTTAGGATTTTCTTGGGTTAATTTTAAGACCTTAACTTCAGAAATCTTTAAAGATTAAAATCCTGTGGTACCAATGTCATCAGTCAATGATTTTAAAGAATAAAAATCATGGTAACAGAGTTCATTGACATGGTATGGTTCCCCCTTTTTTTCCACAATGCGTATGATTTGTGCATATTGACTATAGGGCCAGATCTTAGACTTTTCTTTATCGCCTTTTCGATTGTGGAGTGAACAGAATCCCCTTCGTTCTGGCTATGCCCGCTTATCAAATATGGGTACTTAGCCAAAGCATAAATATACATAGATATTAAAAATTTGTTTTTTTTGTTGCCCACAACAATTATCCGAAAAAAAAAACAAATTCCAGTCTATCAGCATCATCACAAGTACTTATCTTTTTTTCTATAAGTTTAAGTACACATGAAACTATCTCATCAGCTCCGTCATTACCATGTCCCTCATGCCACAGGTAGCACTCTGTTGATCCTGTATCCAATTCAGACACTGTGAAATTGTAGCTATTCAGTTTTGACTTGTGATAGAAGACAGAGACAGTTCCTCGAGGTGTAGGAAGTACTGCTTGCAGATCATAGATGGAAACAATATAGTAAGGATTTGCCTTCTTTTTTTCTTCATCCTTTTCTTTCCTGGATAATTCTTTTTCTTCCAAATGCAATAGATATTCATTTTTTATTTTTCTTTACCTTCTGCTGTCGCATTTTCGTAGCTGTCACACAGTCCACACCAATCTTTTTTAGGTATAAAAAAAGCTTATATTATATTCCGTATTGAAAATCTTTGAGAACATATGTAATTAAATTTGCATATGGAAGGTTTCTGTCTTGACAATTTTTCTATAGTCTTTATATAAATCAGTTAGGTTTTTCGATATATTCCCTGGTAGTCTGCTTTCGCAGGTAGTGACTTTCGATTCAAGGAATCATTTGGATGTCTTCACATACTCCATCTTTAATAGATAAATCTATTTTTTTGTGGTTTTGATGTCTAACTCGCAAGTCTTCTTCTACAAAACCTTTCTCAGCTTTAGCAGCAACTGTCCTTGTTATTCGGTTGTTGATATCTAAGGTAGCCTTAAAAATTTTCTTGACCGTGAATTTGGAAATGTCTCCATCCTGTAGTGTTGAATTATGGTAAACTCTGTAAGAAATACATAGAAATAGATCATTATAACAAAGCGTTAAGAGATAAAAAAAGTGTCACACTATAAAGAAAACTGTTATTGAACTCTAAAAATTTAGACATTGTTTCTAAAAAATAGTCACATTTGATAAATAAATCACTATTATTTCACAAATAGTACTTACGTGTTTATTAAAACAGTCACAATTTGAAATGAAACATTTTTCCAGTCAAGAAAATGCAACTTGTGATTCCAAACTAAGTATAAGACTGGCACAACTGAAAATGTAACTGTTTTTGTTGCACACAATATTAATTTTATGCAAAAAAGTTTATCAGAAAAAAGTCACAACTCCAAATGAAACACTATTCACCTTAAAGATGTTATTGAATTTACCGAACAATACACACAAAAACTGTCACAATACTAAATAAGACTCTTTTCTCGCAGAAACTTAAACAACTGCCACATGTCTACTGGTACAAAGCCCAAAGGTGACACTGTTGTTGAATGTATCGCCAACTACTTGCCACAATACAAAAGTGTCACTTCCGCCATCTAGGGGTAAAGAGTTGAAGTGAAAAAATGACGCTTTTGTGGAGGAAATAACTAGCCATTTTAAACTTTGCTGCATATTTAACTCAATAATTGCATTTTTTGAGTTGTGACTCTTTATTAGCGGGGGTTGCGATAGCTATAATATTATGAATAATACTTCTACTACTTACATCATACATCATGTTATGTTATATGTAAGGAAATCACAGTAAAATTCCTATAAAATTAGAAAACGTTTGTATTAGTAAATTTAAAAAAAATACAATTTAAGGCTGTAACTTTTAGGAAAAACACGCATCACTGCATACATGATGTGGGCAAAAGAGGCTAGAAATGATCTTCTACGTCAGAACCCTAATATGGATTTTTCTGCAATTTCAAAAAGGCTTGGAGAAATGTGGTCTAATGTGAGTCAGTTTTTATTAATTTCAAAATTTATTAAAAGTTAATTCAATTTTGTTTCATCTGTAATACAAATATATTGGGCGGAAGAGGTGAGGAGGGATAACATGCTATCCTCTTCCCCCCTTAAATTTGTGTTACATTATAGTCAGTTGATATAAAAGCAGTGGAATATTTCTTTAAAATTGACTGGAAAGAGCCGTTATAAGGTAATTATTTTATTATTAGCCCTTAAGATTCTGATGCTGGACAATTGCCCCTTCCATTCTAAGAAGGATTAGAGATCATATCTCCAGATATATCGCACCTTTGATTTTACATTCAACATTTAAAAGATTGTATACCGCCAACCATCAGAGGCCATGAGGTCTTCTTGATCTTTCCCAAAGAAGCATCTTATGACATACATGGGTAGAAATGGCAGATAGATTGTTTTATGTTGCAACCACATAGCAATATACATATTATTTATATAAAATCTACTATTAACTTACCGTTTTCCAGCCTACGATACATGCTTTGTAGGCTGGATGGAGAAGATTTCTAAATCTTAGGCTATACTATGATAAATAAAAATTATAGGTAAATAAAACTGTGTGGGTGATAATAATATTTTATTATAAATAGCCTTTGTTCAGAGAAGACATTAATGCACTGTTGTTTATTGACTTAAACTAGTTTTGCCTCCACATCCCTGTCTTTGTGCCTCTTTTGACATAGTCCTCCTCCAACTGTGAGTATTTTTCTCTGTTAGCAGCCACTCTTGTCAATCTGTCACAGCTCATTTGTCCATGTGCCACCTGCAATGTGTGGTGGTAGAGTAAGATAATCCAATCTGAAAAATCTTGTTGGTTCCGATAGATGCCATTTAAACTATCTAGTAATTAACCAAGATGAGCGACGGAAAGCACCGTTACAAATGCAGAATATCTAGTACTGAGATCACAAAACCTATCTTGCAAGCCGGCCGATTATAGCAAATACCTCTAATGAGAAAAGTCCATATCCATCCATAGCCTTTAACAGAAGACAGATGACAATGAAAAGATTGCACCTATCTATGTGTTTAAACATGCAGTAATACCCAGCCATACACAGTAGTTTTACATTATCTATAACTACTTATCTTAATAACTGATGTTTCGCTGTAGGTAACTTACAATGAGAGGTATCTTTGGAAAAGAAAAGCAAAAAGATTTGCTATCCAAAAGGAACAAAGCAATCAAGTTGCATCCAATAAAATAATTTCTAACCCAAGTAAGTATTTATAATATTATAGTTATAGATGTATTCTGAATAAAAAAGAGAAATTTTATTTAATTTATCTGGCTAAATGTATAAATTTTACTTAATAGTATACATATAAGGGTCGAATATGGCCAGCCGAAAAATATGGCCACTCACCACTACATAGAAAACCGCACGACAAACGGAGTCGGCTATGTTCGGGAAAGTTCGGTTCCGAGGTTCATGTCTAGACGCGCACCCGCTGCGCCTCCTGCGCGAACGCCAGTAGCGAAAAAGACGAAATAATGGACGCTTGTGTTGCTTCTTTAATTCTTTTTTGCGAGTTTTGCTATATATTTCAGTGTTTTATTAGTTTAACTAAGTTTATATCGTCTTATCACGCATTTTAGTAAAGGAGTTTGACATCCAGGTAAGATCTTATTGAATTATTTTACGCGTTTTTTACAAGCATGGGATTGAAAGAAACAGTGGCGTGGCTGAAAATATGGCCACTGACTGGCCATATTTCCTATATAGATTTTGATGCACTGATTTATCCGCTTATTTTTGCTTCAGGTGATGGGGCGATACAAATGCAAAGGCATTCGCGGTAATTGGGTGGAAGATGATATGAAGTTCGCTATGTCTGCTGTAAAGAGAGGGGTTATGAGAGTGAACACAGCTGCAAAGAGGTTTAATGTACCAAGGCGGACTCTGAGACGATATTTGGCAGAAAACAAAAACACTAAATCCACCTTGGGTAGAAAACCATTGTTAAATTCGGATCAAGAAAACGATTTGAAATCCCGCATTATTTGACTTTGCAGCGTTGGTTACCCACTAACACAGCGTGTATTACGTTCATGTGTTAAAACGTTCTGTAATGAACATAACATTTTATCCAAAATCAAGGAGTTATGATTGGACGAGATTGGTTGAGGGGATTTTTAAGACGGCACCCTAATATCAGTAAACGTAAAGCCCAAAATTTAAATCCCGCCAGAGCTCAAAAGCTTAATAAGGCAGTAGTGTCTGATTACTTTGCGAAATTAAAGGATTTAATGAAAAAATATGACTTAATGAAGAAACCAGAACGAATTTATAATATTGATGAAAAAGATTGTCAATTAAATTCACACAAAACTCCACAAGTTCTAGCAGAACGCGGTACAAAGAGAGTACACATAGTGGCAGCTGAACATGGAGAATCAGTGACTGTAGTGTCTTGTGGTAATGCATTAGGGCACGCTATACCACCCATGATTTTATTCAAGGGGAAAAGGATGAAAGGAGAATGGCTCGATTAGTTACCTACCGGTGCTGTAGCTCAGATGACTCCCAAAGGAAACATGACCACCGACGCTTTTGTGAATTGGATACATCACTTTTCAAAATTCAAATTAACAGGAAATGTGCTTCTTATATTCGATGGTGCAAAGTGCCATTTGGATTACTCTATTGTGGAGACAGCTGAAAAATATGAAATCAAGCTTTTCTGCTTGCCCAGTAATACGACCCACGAGCTTCAGCCTATGGATAAAAGTGTATTTAGGTCGTTTGAATATTACTGGGATGAGGAAATACTTAGATACTGGTCTCTGCATGAAGACAGAAAAATCACTAAACAAAGATTTGGAGTCATATTTAGTAAAGTGTGGGATAAAGCTGCAACACCAGCAAACATCAAAGCTGGATTTGAGGCTACAGGGATCTACCCATTCAATCCAGATCGGATCCCAGAGGAAGCATATGCTCCAAGTATTCCTACTTATAACCCCATGCCAATTGTTGATAATAAGGACACTGACACTGATGTTAGTGAAAGTCTCCTTCATGAGGCTGCTTCAAATATAAGTGCAATTAATACACCAGTTCAGCAATTGACTTTAAGCAATAATAACTTTAATTCTCTTTCCGCTTCTACAGAGCAGATTGGAAATTCTGCCACTACCCCGAGTCAAAATATTACCGTTTGTAATGAACCGAAAAAATCTTTCTATGATTTGTTGAAAACTCCTGAAAAAAGTGCAAAATGTCTCGAAATGGCTCCTAGAAAAAAAACGATCAATAATTTAGCTCAAGAACTTAAAAAATCAATTTTCCCTGAAAAGAAAAATATTTTAGGACCGTCAAACAGTATTACAAAATGTTCAGAAAAAAGGAAGGAATTAACGCAAAAACACAAAAAAAAGCAAGTTGACAAACAGCATAAGTCAAAAAAATGTACTGAATCATGGTACTGTTTCGTTTGTGGAGAAGACAAGGTAGCAGATATGAGACCGTGTTTTATCTGTGAAACTTACGTCCATGAAGAATGCGTAGGAGTAACTGCAGTAGACAAATACCAGTTTATATATGCATTAAGTGTAATAACGATTGAATTAAAAAATGTGTATGCCTTTTGTTCCATTAATATTCTTTTTTATATAAAAAAAACATTAGCTGATTATGACTGACTGAAATTAATCTTGAATCTCAAAATGTGCCATAAGTCATTCTTTTTATTGTTGATTGTGTCTAAAACTCTTTATTTGATCTAAAAGCATTGCTATATAATGTAACATAATTGACGTTTTTTCTTTATAATTATGTTTTGCCAGTTACTTCTATTTAAGACTGAAATATTATTATAGAATTCAGAATATGCCACTTACTATTACTTTAATAATAATCCTACTTATTGTTAGTATTGTTAGTTGTAATGTTACTTAATTGTTAAATTTGTTTTAGTCTCTTTCCTTTTGGTTCACCTGCAATATTATTTTATAACATAGTAGATATTATTATTTATTAATTATAAATAATTATGGATCTCAATATATTCCAAAAAATTACGTACTTTTAAAGTTGTTTGAGTTATATTGTTGATTGTGCATTCATTTAATATTAACGTTTTTATTTGATTTAATGCGCAGCTTCTTTTTCTTGAAAACTTGATTGTTTTTTGTTACATTATTATGTCATTTCTTACCGTAAGTGACATTCTAGTCTTGAACTCAGAATGTGCCATTATCATTATTATGAATAAAAAAAAATGAATAAAAATATTTTTTTCATTGTTTCCTTATAAAAAATCCAAATATAGAGATAGTGTTTCAGTTAAACCTATAAGTTTAACTGACACACTATGCCTATATTATATAGTAAATATGGCCATTTTTATACAAAGTACAAAAATGGCCATATTCGACCGCTAAAATAGCAATAGTGAAAATATGGCCATGTTAATGTCCATATTAACCTACACCGGCGAAAATATGGCCATTTTCCGTTTTTTTTTTTTATAAAGAGAACATAACTTTTAATTTTTAATAGATTTGCCAGATTTTTGCTTACGACATGAAAACTAGATATATAATTATTAATATAATGTGCAAAAGATTGTTTAAAAACCTTAGAAAATATGAAAAACTGTGTATCAAACCTTAAGGTGACCATATTCGACCCAGGTACCTTATTTATATGTATAATCTTTGTTTCACAAAAACTTCCTTTCACCTGACTACTATGTATTACAGCCCAATGCAGTTGGTTAAACTTAAATGCATGCTATGGTAATGCCATCTGAGTTTACCTGAGTTTACTTAGAAATTTGAGTTTGGGAAATCGGGACTTTGAGACTTTTCAAAATAAAATAAGAATTGAGTTCATTTTTGGTAAAATGTATCAATAAAATTGCAATTTTAATAAAAATCAACATTTTTATTGAATCTAATTACAAACCTATAAAACTTATATTAAAGCCTTAACAATTTGTATGATTAAATTTTATAATCACAGATTCATTCATCCTTAAAGCGTAAAGAGACATGTTGCTGCACTGTAAGATGTTTAGCTTAAAAGAAGTTCTGAAATTCTGTAAATTACAATCATGGTTTTATTTCGCATCTTGTATGTAAGTCACAAAAGTGTGCATGCATTGAATAAAACTATAATTACAAATTTTATCACTTTTAATAACTTATTTTTAGTACCCGACGTTTCAAGTGCTTAACAGCACCCATGGTCACGGGGGGACTGAGTTGTTAGACGTCCCAATTTCATAGTTACCCTGACTACCTTCAGTTTTTGAATATTAATTTTTGTTCCGATCTATGCAGGATGAGCTTACAGTGTCTTGAAGTCTTATAGGTAGTTTTGTTATACTTTTTTTAAGAGGGTCGTCGCCTTTTGCCACCTTTTCCACTCGCAGAGGAACGTATTTTAAAAATGTTTAGAATTATAAGAAGCATTTTTTTAATGATTTCTTATATTTATGCGAACACTATACATTGATTAAAACTACTTTTACGGATTTTATCGCGTTTTATTTATATTAATTTTAATACCCGACGTTTCGGGTGCTTTCCAGCACCCATGGTCACGGGGGACTGAGGTGACTGACGTCCCGATGTCAAAGTTAACCCGAAGTACCTTCAGCTTTTTAATTATTGTCTTTGGTCCGATCTACGCAGAATGAACTAACTGTATTTGAAGTCTTGCAGTGGTATGCTTGGGTTTAGTTTTCATTTTATTAATTATAGGATCCCAAGCAGGTGGTAGTATCCAGCCTCATTCTCTATTGAAATTAGGATGTTTTTTAATTTCAATAGCCTCACGTATCATCCTTGGTAGGAATCGATGTTCTTTCGCGAGGATCTGTGGGTGAATGGTTGGGACCATCTAGAATATGATCGCAAACTGCAGACTTCCCGGAACATTGATGCTTCACGTCAGCTATGTGTTCTTTTACGCGGGTTCTAATTGATCTCTTTGTTTGCCCTATATATGAGAGACCACAATCACAATCAAGCTTGTACACTCCTCGGCTTGTACATGTCGGGTATTAAAATTAATATAAATAAAACGCGATAAAATCCGTAAAAGTAGTTTTTAATCAAAGCATTTTTTTTTTGTTTTGTTTTGAATATTATCAAAAACACATTTTTACTGTGACATATATTACGTTTCTATGCGGAGTTTATTAGATAAATACATAAAAGGTGTTGTTTTTTAATCATTACCTATTAAATTATTACTATTTTATGTTCGCGTATTGATTACGTTTAAAACACCGCATTTTTTAAGTGAAATTTCTTGATAAATACGGCTCTGTGCGAACGCAAGTAGTGTCAAATGGGATAGCCCTAGTAAACAAAACTCCGTGACACGTACTAATAATTGCTATACCTGTACTTATTGTTTATTATTATATGTTATTATAAAAATATAATTATTAATTTGTTATGTATCTTTTATAAATACTTAGGTACTCTTTTTTGTTGTAAGCACATTATTTTGATTCTATTGATTTATTTTGGTGTTAAGTTTCGCAAACACAAAACCTGCAAGCTGTAGTCTAAGATTAATTTTCGATTTAAGCCAATCCCCCCCCCCTTCCCATCCGTTTTATTTATTAGTGTTCACGTTAATTTAAGAAATCATTAGTGTGCGTGCACGTTCTTTCTTTTGCATTCACAGGCTGCGAATTTTATCATATGATCTGATTAACATGTATGGAAATAGTATGTGCAATGATTTTAGGAAATACTCATGTTTGTGATTGTATATTGCATAATGTTTTTATAATTGAGTATTTCTGTTTTAAATTTTATAAAGTATGTTCTGGAAATGTATAGTAAGAGTTTACATATTCAATAATAAAATTTTATATATAACTCAAATTAAAAAATTTATAAACCCCTGATAAAAAAGTGCTGATGATCTTCAAACAGCTGAAAAGCTTTTACAAGTGTCGAATAAGGTTTATATGTAATATATTGTTTATACGTAAATAATGATGCAGACTTTCTCTGCAAGAAGACAAATTTCCTATTAATATTTCGCATACTTTACTCAGGTATTCGTCCGCCAACGAATGTAGGGCCTGGTAGACCACCATTGGGTCGAGCGCCACGCCAGGCCACACCACAGGTTCAGCACAATGCCGTAGTTGTGAGTTTATCTTTTTACTTAAATTATAGAATACAATCTACATTAATTAAATTTTACACTTACTCATTACATTTTAAGAAAATTACATTTTTATCATACCCTTTTAACATTTTTATTGGATTTCATTGATACCTCTGCTATTATATCCTTAGGAATCGATGATTGCTTTAAAGCCATTCCTGCCAATTGGCTTGAATTTAAAATTCTGTACGGGAATTCCTCTCTTCATTTTATTGATACATGTAAATTTATCCAACGAGAATTGCACATTTAATGTTGTAGATTATTAATCCTAAAATAAGACTACGAGAAATTCAGAAAACACGACTTTTTCTACCACCAGGGCAGTGCCATTTAGTAATGCGGTGAAATATTTGACAGATTTTATAGTGGAGGAAGTTAATTGGTTAGAAAATGTAGAATAGTTAGAAGAATATTTTATATGTGGTAGAGCCATACTTCAGTTATATTAATAGTATAATTGTAGCACGAATGGGACTGCTCGACCGGTCTACGTGCACGCTATTACAGAATACCAACGTAAAACAGTGCTTCGTATGGTGAGTGTAGAGAAACGGAGACCGTGTTTACTGACAACAAGGCATTACATCTTAGTCCTCACGGGTGACAACGCATCTGCATTTTGATTCGTAATTGTGGATAGATGTAGATATCTATGGGCCACAATAACCACTTACCATCAGGTGGACTGTGTGCTCGTTTGTTACACTATTCTGTAAAAAATATTTAAATGTGTTAACCGTAATTGTAGATGAATTAAAAATAGTTAAAAATGTGTAAAAGAATACAGCACTGAGTTTATTGTATATATATATGATGGACACTAGAACCGAAAAAGTTATAACTAAATCGCAACTTTTCAATAATGTGTACTAAAGTAAACTTACGTAGATTACGTTCCGTAGATGGTCACCAACTGCGTAACAAATAAGTTTACTTTAACCTGAATTAGTGGCATCTGGTGATCTTAATATTAATAGTTCTCGCTATTGGTGAATTTTAACCAGTAGTACACAAAACCGTTAATTTTATTGTATTAAACAACCAATAGTTGTACAAATGAGTAATTTAAAGATGGGCGGGTAATCTGGAAGGCTGGAGGTTGGTCATTTATAGAACAGGTATTGATAAATAGTAAATACCTTTATAAGGTACCAGTCTCTCACAAACTAGGGTTCATTGCGTTTATGGTTTAACATGTTTGTCATCAATAATTCTGTACCTGTTTGTCATGAGAAAATAAATATCTTACGTGGTAGAGCCAAGCTGCAGCTATTATGGTTGTAGCACAAACATGTCAGCTCTACTAGTATAGGACCACGCTCTCACAGAACACTAGCTTAAATAGCAGCTTAATGCTTCTGTGTTTTGTATGGGCAGTGTAAAGAACCGGAGACCCTCTTAACTGGAAACGAGGCATTCTTAATCCTCAGGGGTGACAGTGCATCTGCAGATTGGTTCTTTATCAGAGATAGATGTGAATGTCTATTGGCCAAAGCATTCACCTACTAACAGGTGGACTGTGTGCTTGTTTGTCACCCTCAGTTTAAAAAAAATTAAATTATATTCTATGTGTTAAATCGTGTAACAGCCGGTGTCGAGCGGTACGTCTACAGCTGTGTCGATCGTTTCGCCGAGTGCGTCGGTGGGTGCGGGCAGTGCGGCGGGGGCGGGCATGTACCGCGTGACGGGCTGCGGCGCCGTGGACGTGGCCGCGCACCTGCGCCTGCTGGGCGAGAGCCTCGCCATCATCGGCGAAAGGCTCAAGGAGCACGAGGTTACCTTTACACTTTGCCCTCTGGTCATGAATTATACTGTGAGCACTTCATCCACAATTGAACAAATTGGCACACGATTGAATGAATGACATATTAAAAAAATGACATAATTGCTTTTTTCAATAGTTACGACCCATCGATAGTCTACTGCAGATTGACTATAAAAACATTAATTTTAAAAAAAACTACTTTTTTTCTATGAAAATTAATAGTAAATTTTTTATAACTGCTCATACACACTAGATGTTAACTGTTAAAATTTGTTAACTCTAACACTTGTTTTATATGTATTGTTTGGTTTATTGATAAAAAAAATGTTACCATTATTGATTTTATATTGTGCGAGAAGCTACGCAGGTATAGAGAGATCTGTAGATCACTGCTAAGCCCTACGTCTTCAATGAATAGAAGGAGTTGCTTAGCTGTGAGTAATTTCACTTCTTCTGGGCGGAGTACATAGTTTCTCAGATGATGTTGCGTCCCCAATCAGTTAAGATGTGCATAGGCGTTTCTTCCATTAAGGAACAGAAGTGGCACATCCTAGAGTTGATTAGTGCCAGGATGGACATGTGCTTTTTAATACAACAGTGTTCGGTCAGGGCTCTTGCCAGAATGCGCAATTTATTTTTACTTAATTCTAGAGCTTCTGAAGCAATTTTACGATCAAAAGCCCGGATTAAGGTTTTAGAATGTTTTAAGCCTGGTGTATCAGACCAGATCTTAAGTGATTTATTGTGATAAAGAGTTTCAAGGGTCAATCCGGCTAGGCTTTTTGAGATCCTACAAAGTGGCTCGGGTCTAAATTGTGTACTCTTTGGGCCCTCCTGTACAAGCTTGTCGGCAAGCCTACAATACACGCGAGCCCGGAATCCATCTTAGAACGACCCTGTTGTTACATTTCAGGTTGTTTAGATGGTTCACGCAGTCTTCTACTAGCTTTTGAGTTTTCTGTCGAAGATTTCTGCTTGGAAGATAACATTGAATCTACCCAAATTCATACTAAGTTTGAATTAGGGGTGTTCCCCATAGATTCCGAAGCCTACGTCAAGGCCCATTTTTGACCCATCGGTATACCATATAGGGCTATCGACCTCACAAATGACCTGGTCATTCTGCTAGTCTCCTCTGAAGGGTGGTTCCACTTTATACTTTTTATTAAAAGTGTATAGTGGACGCATTATGCATAAGACCGATGTTTCCTTAATTGAGTCGAGCATGGATCTCAATCTAAAGGAAAGCAAGCTCAAACCGCCCTTGGCGTTAATCCTTTACAAACTAGCCCTCGCTTCTTTGTCTAGATAAAGATCAAGGGGCGTTAGACGTAGAAGTGCTTTAAGAGCTGCTCCAAGCGATGATCGCATCGCTCCAGTTGCCATTAAGCAGGCAGTCCTAGACTATGTCGTCTGTCCAAAGTCGTCTTTTGGTTGGCCTTATTACACCAGACAGTGGAGGCGTTGGTAAGAATTGGCGTCACTATGCTGCTGTACTGCCATAAAGCCAAAGGATCATACTGGGATGCAAGCCCCAGTTTTTCCCAACCAAACTGCACATACCTAAAGCAATTTTTGCCTTAATATATGTTGCTAAGGTTAGAGCTCTACGTTAGTTTTTGGTCGATTGTTACGCCCAAATACTTAACTTCAGTGGAGAATGGTACTTCTTTACCCTTATGTTTCGGTATGACTAATTAGTCTAATTGTCTTTTTTGGTTAAGGGTGGGTATCTACATTAGTATCAAACTAAGTTTGTGAGTGAAACTCGAAAATTTTGACCCCATTACCGGCTGCGCCCCACAAGCTGTCTTAGCGATAAGCCTGTGTTAGTGCCCGGTGAACCAGTCGTATCTGCTCCACGCTCATAGGACTCGAATTGCGAATTCCTACACGCGCGGAGCCAGCTACGGCACTGAAGCTGAGTCTCTTCTCTCCTGTTGCCATCTTCACAGATTTCCTGGACTGCTCTTTGGGGGACTCCTCCTCAGACCGACTGCGTTTTTTCGCCTTCGGAACTGGGAAAGGTTTGGGCAGAGGAATTTCGTCCCAGGGCTTCTGACAGAGAGAGAGGGCCTCTTCGGCTCCTATCTCAGGTGCTATCCTGAAAATTTAACCTAAGAATTTAAAACCATTCTTACTTCTCAGACCAAAAAAGAAAGGTAGACGGGCCGCTACGTACATTTTAAGTGACGCAGTTTTTGCGTCTCTTAATCATTCATCTAAAAGCATTTGCAACCAACAACGTGCTAACATTAGGTGCATATGTGTGTCCAGCAGGCGATTTATAAGAAAGAAAGGCATAAGACATGTGCGTGAGTCTCAAGAAATTTTACATGGTGTTCTATTTTTCTCTGGAAAAATAGAATAAAATCAAGTTTTTGATCAAAAACATAGGCTTTTGATCAAGAACCGGAAGAAGACAAAATTAATACTTTAAACCAACTAACATAAACAAATGTTTTTGAATCAAAAACCTAGACTGATTTTGTTTTGTGATAAAATCAATGTCGGTTACTATTTATTTAAATAAAACACTTAGATAACCTTACCTAAACTTAAATTTTATCATATACCTCAACAAGTTCAGGTTTTTGATCAAAAATAGAATTTTTATGTTAATGTAAGTAATAATTTTATCTTCTTCCGGTTCTTAATTAAAAGCCTAAATTTTTAATCAAAAATAGGATTTTACCATAAACCTGCGACATATATACAAAAAGCTAAATTAAGCTTAAAAATATTGTTATTTCATTCCAATTTAAGTTATTAATAATTTGTTTACAGGGTCAAATCGCTGTGTCGGGCTCGGTGTCAGTGCTACTGGACACACTGTTGTGCTCGTTAGCGCCTCTGCTGAGCGTGTCGCGTGCCATACCCGCCATCGCGCCTCCCGCGCGCTTGTTGCAAGACACCCTCCACAACATAGCCTATATTATGCCCGGTCTGTAGCCCCAATATATTGACGAAACTCTACTAATTACTAAGTGAAGTGAACAACTTGGTAAGACTGCGTGATGAATTTCAAGCGTTATAATAAATCATTTTATAATTACATAAAATTAGTTGTAATTATCTATTTTTTGGAGTCTTCAAGCAGTCGTTAAGAAAAACGCTGACTTAGAACAGTTGAAAAAACATCCATAAGTACTATCCCCTTGCAAACTTTATCCATAGAATTATTAATTAGTGTTTCAATAAATTGTGTAAACATAGTGTCATACATTGTAAACACTGTATACTTTGACACCCAAACCGTCTCATTACAAAACAAATGATGACGCTTGTTATTAATAATTATCATTAGACTATCAATGGGTATTAACAAAATTGTCAATAACTTTTTTAAGTACTGATTCACCACGTGCTTGATGGTGAATGACCCAAACGTTACAATGATAAGCTTGCTACTAATTTACATTAACTTTCAATGGGTATTAACACAATTCTAAAAATGAAAGAAGGCCTGTATCTAGCAGTAGGATGTTATAAGCTGTAATTTAAGTGATTATCATATTAAGAACAAAGATTGTAAACTATGCACTATACTTATGTATGAATCAACACAAAGCTACCCGCACATAATTTTTTGTCACTATGTAAAATTCATTCTTAATTACAATATGTCTAGGACAGAGTAGATGCAATTGTAGATAAGTGATGATCAATGGTACCTTCTCGAGGGTCATTGATACCTCGGGCAATCTTAACGACATATTGCTTTACCTCTTTTGGCAGCTCTCCTCCTCTCGAAGTGACAAGTAAGAACCAATCTGCTGGGTCCTTTGACTTTAATGTGGCTCTAGCGACATCTTCATCTTCATTGTCACTGTCCTCCCTCAAAGACAATGGGGTTCCGTCTATTGTGTAGACTTTGCTGAAAGATTATGTTGTAGAATATGCATACGCTAAGCATGCGGCATTCGCTAAGATATCTGTTGCTCTTGATTCTGTTATGTGTCGGGCATTGCAAGATTTAGATGTCCTTAGAAGAGCTCTGGTAATGTGGACCCATTCGAAAAAGTGAGGATTAGCCGTCGCAGAATAAGCAGATTTCAATACTAGACTCATATCTACATGGTATGGGAAGTAAGAGTGTGTTTCCATTAATTCCTCTTCTTCTTTCATCATGCGGTCGATGTCATTGCCGACTTGCTCAATGAAGACCCAATCCATAACATCTGTTGTATTTGTCATACCCAATAAATTCAACAGATACCCATATGATATCAAAGCTGCACAGTCCCTATGGCGAGATCCAGTTGTTCCTATCCTCATGCATGCATAAGGATGTGTGGGGAACTTCGTAAAGAACATATCATAGATGCTACCAGTGTTGTAACCTCGGTCATTCACCCATGACATATATATATATATATATATATATATATATATATATATATATATATATATATATCTATATTTATACGCTCACATCGGGGGCTGTAGATTTCAGAGCTTTCATTTGAATAGATACCCTTTGTGCAATTTGACTCTTATACGTTGTAACCGGTGCTCTGATGAGTCGATAATAGCTGAGGAGGGTTCCGGCCATCCACGGGTCATCTTCTTCTCGAGCGGATTCTGTACCGGGGTGTTCTCTGTTTAGAGTGGTCACTTTGGGTTCAATTATATCTAGGGGAGTTATGTCTCTGTCCTTCTCCCCGATTGTCAGCTTGTATGACTTCCAATCGTCGTCTAGTTTCATGGTTATGGTTTTGGCAAAGTGGTAGAGAAAGGTCTTAGCGAGATCGATAGGAACATTATTGTCCAGAATGGCTTTGCTAACCATTTTTCTTGCCTCTTCAAGAGAATTGGTCACAAGAGTTATGGATAAGGGAGGCTTTTGTCCCTCGTTGTTTCGGAACCATGTTGATGGGTACTGGACCTCCACCAAACCTGATGGCGCGCGAGGCTTGATCACTTTTTGAGTGGAAACTCTCGTCATAGACATGATACAGATTCAAATTGATTTCTGCACATGGAAGCTAATGTCAGAGTAGTTGTGATCGGTCGGTCGTGAAGTTGGCCGTGCATAGAATTTTTCTTTCGTCGGGTGATTGACTTCGATTTCTTACCGACCTATATGCAATAGGATTCCAGAGAGGAAGCATGTGTTTGAGTTCTACATCTTAAAAGAAACGTCGATAAAATACTGTGTGAATCTTCTATTATACAAGAAAGCGAATGTGTAATTTGTCTGATTCAACGTATATTTAACACGTGCGCAAACAGAGACAAAGAGGCTTACTCTTTGATACTACTTTTTTCTGTGGAATTTTATAGCAATTCTGCTGCACTCAATACAAAGAAATTGTTGTAAAAGTAAATGCTTGAGCAGTCGCAGGGCATACCAGCTATGTCACATTTTTATATAATTTATAAATTCAATACGACACAACTGCTTTCCCAGTTATCCAAATTGTAAATGCTAAAGCAGTTCTGTCATGTAGCTTGTAAAAAAGGTTGAATGTACGACACGACACAGATGCTTTAGCAGATTGCAAGAAAAATTTCTTTGCGTTAGCTGCAGGACTAAACAATCATGCAAAACTTTCATTTAAGACGCGTTTGCAAATCAAGCAAAGTTAGGGTGTTTTTCGGTAGATTTTGTGACAAAACTAAACCAATTCAAATAAAAGTAAAAACTACCATGTATAGATTGGTTCTTCATCTGCAAACGTATGTAACTCTTTTGTTGAAAATAGTAGTTTTTTATATTGTAAAAACGAACTTCCGTTGCCATTTTCTACAAAATTAACGATACCGGCTTGAGTTCATCTATTATCAACATATTTTAAAAATTTAAAAAATACTATAAGATGACAGACATATTCAATTAAAAAAACATGTGTTTATTTTTTATTAAAATGTCACAAATAGTCGTAGAAAAAATAAAAACAGACGCACATTTTTTCACATATTTTTCTAATACGGGTGAATCATAAACTATTGCAATGAGGGCTATTTTATTTTTGGTTAAGACCTTACCACCGGACTCGATGGAGTGACCTGAAGGTGTATTTCGGTAACTACTACTGCAACTCCTGGACGAGTGGAACTAGGTGTGCCGAGTTTGGGCTCGTTTTGTTAGTTATGATGAGACCTTACCTCCGGACTTGATGATGTGACCTGAAGGTGTACTTTCGTGACCGCTATTTTAACTTCTCGCAGAGTAAAAATAGGGGTGGCGAATTTGGGCTCCGTTTTGTTAGTTATGATGAGACCTTACCACCGGACTTGATGGAGTGACCTGAAGGTGTAATTCGGTGATTACAACTGGAACTCCTGGACTAGTAGAACTAGGTGTGCCGAGTTTGGGTTCGTTTTGGTAGTTATGATGAGACATTGCCTTCGAACTTGATGGAGTGACCTGAAGGTGTAATTCGGTGATTACAACTGGAAATCCTAGACTAGTAGAACTAGGTGTGCCGAGTTTTGGTTCGTTTTGTTAGTTACGATGAGACCTTACTACCGGACTTGATGGAGTGACCTGAAGGTGTAATTTGGTGATTACAACTGGAACTTCTAGACTAGTAGAACTAGGTGTGCCGAGTTTGGGTTCGTTTTGCTAGTTATGATAAGACCTTAACACCGGACTTGATGGAGTGACCTGAAGGTGTATTTCGGTAACTACTGCTGGAATTCCTGCACGAGTAGAACTAGGTGTGCCGAATTTGGGCACCGTTTTGTTAGTTATGACGAGTTCTTACCTCCGGTCTTGATGGAGTGACCTGAAGGTTCAATTGGGTGATTACTACTGGGACTCCTAGACTATTAAAACTAGGTGTGCCTAGTTTGGGTTCGTTTTGATAGTTGAGATGAGACCGGTGGTAAGGTCTTATCATAACTAACAAAACGGAACCCAAACTCGGCACACCTAGTTCTACTAGTAGGAGTTCCAGTTGTAATCACCGAATTACACCTTCAGGTCACTCCATCAAGTCCGGTGGTAAGGTATTATCGTAACTAACAAAATGAACCCAAACTCGGCACACCTAGTTCTACTAGTAGGAGTTCCAGTTGTAATCACTGAATTACACCTTCAGGTCACTCCATCAAGTCCGGAGGTATGGACTCGTCATAACTAACAAAACGGAGCCCAAATTCGGCACAGCTAGTTCTACTCGTCCAGGAATTCCAGCAGTAGTTACCGAATTACACCTTCAGGTCACTCCCATCAAGTCCGGTGGTAAGGCCTTATCATAACTAACAAAACGAACCCAAACTCGGCACACCTAGTTCTACTAGTCTAGGAGTTCCAGTTGTAATCACCGAATTACACCTTCTGGTCACTCCTTCAAGTCCGGAGGTAGGTAAGATCTTATTATAACTGACAAAACCAGTCCAAAGACCACAGCTAACATCTCACTACCAGTAGAGGGCTTCCAGTGCCAAGCAGTCTCTGGAGCAGGTGTTCGTATTTCGTATCTAACTAAGTATATATCTGAGGTATAAGAAATGAAAAGCAAATTCAATCTTTCAAATTATCAAAATAATTTCATTTGACTACGATTCCCACAGCCAACCGTGCGTACACTTGTGTGTGTGTGTGTGAGTCGTGTCAATGTAGTAGTTCGATTCTATACCTATCAATTTTGTAAACGCGTCCTTAAACGTTATTAAATAAAACAAATATGTATAACACTTTCAGACCTGTAAATTTGATTAACGTCGATCTTATATATGTTAATATTTTTTTTTATAAATATAGGGTCTATTTTACAGAAAAAATAATAAAATCTTTTAGCTATCTAAGTTCTTAAAAGCGCATATCACGATCGTGAGTTCTGGGTTATGTGTTAGTAGACTCACTATCGTGACTTCATTAGTTAGTAATACTAAACGTTTATAATTAACTTATTAGGTATATTAAAATTAAATAAACAAATACCTAATTTAACTTTTTTAGTTAGTAGTAAGTTGCAGTTGTATTGATATTTTTATCACCTTAACTAATTAGTAGTAGTTAAGGTGATAAAAATATCAATACAACTGATTTAGAAAAAGTAATTGTGTTTTTAAATCACAGATAAGTTACAATATTGGACTTTATGGCCTTCAGTCAGAACTTATTACCTACTAATTCCTTCTTACAAATAATTGGAAATCTTTGCTTACCTAGAAACAAAACAGTTGTTTTACTAAAAAACAAAAAACTTTTCAATGTTAGAAACTAAGCATACCTTTTTCACATCAATTAACAAATCAAAGTATTTTTGGGGCTTAACCGGGGTAATAAAAAGTATAAACCAAAATGCTTTTTACACGTAAAACAGATAAAAAATAATTCGGTCTTAGTTATATTAGTTGGAATGGTAATAGTAAAGGTAGAAACAGTCTTTGTCACGGTTGATGCACAAGTGAACGTTACATTTGCGGCACCTTATTTTAGTACGAGAAGAACACTGAATCTGACTGAAATATTCGTGGTGATATTATCTCATCAAATACAGGTAAGTGTGCGTAGCCTTCATACCTCTTTCCGTGATACTCTGTCACATACTGAAGAAACGTCCATACAAGCGCGACTGAGATAGCAGTAGCATGTGTGTGAGGGGAGCAAGAGCACAGATTACTAAATAGTTTACCAATAGTTTACATAACACCCATACAAAAGTGAAAATATCTACGCTATAATAGCCTACAAAATCTTAATAATAATATCTGCTGCTTGAAGCGAGAAGAAAATGTACCATAAGTACGCGCTCAAATAGTCGAGATTATGTTGCCCGCCGTGCGACTCACGTGCAAGTGCGTCATCGCACGAATGCGCTAGGGTTGATTTTGATGATTATTGTAATAAAACGAATGTTGCGAAATACGTAACCATATTTTTATTTGTCAATGAAATATGTTTGAGTTTTATAAAATGATTTATACATTTTTTCCTTCTCTGAATTCTCGGTTATTAAATTTTATCGTAGAAAATATCCTAAATCGCGTAAATAATTTCAATAAATAGTCATGAGGAAAACAAGAGCAAAGCAGAGGAAAATCAATGGTTTGTAAAAGTTACAACACGGTGCTGCCAGGCCGATTCATTATGACATTGTGAAAATTATTTAAGAATGCTCTTTCTAATTCTTCAATATAATTATTAAACGTTTCTGTTGGGACTTTTAGCCTACCTATAGCCTATTTATATATATTTATATTTTATAGCCTATTTTAGGTATATCCAAAGCAATTAGTCATTTGCAGAATCGATGTTGATTTCATCCATTTTGGCGCGAAATAAAAAGAGTTTGGCTGTGGCTTGCTTGAAGGCGATCGCCCGACTAACATTAGGTAGCAACTGGGCTCGTTCATGCATGACCTCTTATTCAAAACTATAAATAAAATGCCGATCGTGATCGGAACGGAAATTTGTCTCCTCACAGGTTTTAAAACCGGCCGATATGATTAACGTGATTATAAATAAATAAAACACCTGTGTTGAAATTGGCCGATACTTTAATCGACCGACGGCTTTAATTTCCATGTGCAAGTAAGGCCCGTAACTTTTAGGTTTACTCCTTAACGCTTAAGGTTTAATTTTAATTACTCGATATAGATATGTACGATAAACAGTTTTTTGTTTCCCCTTTTCCATTTACTTTGTAATCCAAAAATATGTAATTTAGTGTATTACTGGTAAACGACGTACATTTACTACCTAGTTTTCTTTATTGGGTAGCAATGTTTGCTATCACTACAATTAACAAAACTTGTAAGTAGATTTATACGAATAAAGTTTTATTTTTACAAGATTTCTTTTATTTTTATTAATGCCACGGCGTTGTCACTTGATTCCTCCTTCTCCGTTCATTGGTAAACCAGACGCTCAACTATTCACCACTTTTTTGATGTTGACATACCAACCCAATTAAACCAATTTAAACCCAACGATTAAATAATCGTTTGTTATGCCTACAGCAAAGGAGAGGAATAATTTACTAGCATTCTGTCTTT